GCTTGGCCATGTGACAGTATGAATCTATTTTACATTTAGTTCGCCAATGTTGGTGACTACATACATAATTGTGACCATTATCTAATTCTGTATTGATTGTTAGTGAACGATCATCGAAGCATTAAGGTCGTCTGCTCACTTTATTTCGAACATTTATACAGATTAATACTAATTCTTTAATTTTTCAACAATTGGATGAATTTTTAATTTGATAGATGATTTCAGGTCACCAAGCGCCTTATAGAGGGTGACAATAGCGTCATCGTATTTAATAGATTGTTTATAGGTACTTATTGTGTGGAATAAGTATTTACTTACTCGAACAATCAGCGAGAAAGATAAGTTCGTCTGCTACACTTAAAATGTCCTTAAAAACGATAAAAATACTCGAATATTTAATTGCATTCAAGGACAGATATTTTGTATTAATTTAATTATTTTTAATAATTCTTGCAAAAACGACATCGCCTGTTACTTCTCCCTGTTGTTGACTGTGCACGAATTTGAGACGATAAGTGTCAAGCAATCACGACCCTCCTTATTTTGAATAAATCCGGACCCCAGCAATTTAATAGGGGACTGGCCGGTCAAACAACTCCTGCTAAAAAGTTGAACACAATTTCAACTAGCACCAACTAGTTATGGTGTGGGACAAAAGAGCAATTCATGTGTGCGTTTGTGGTTGAATTTTTCAACTCGCTTCTAGTTTCTGTATCCATTCCAATGTTGCTGCGGAACTACACATCCTACTTTAGAACTGGGACATTTTATGAACAAGTATGATGGAAGAAACGTTTTTAAAAGCTTTTTCAACTTCAAGTCGTGATTTAGTTTTATGATTGGTGGATGAAGTCAGGACCTATAATCGTATGATCTTTTTTTTCCCATTAGTCGAGTCACTGGTCTCGTGGACTAGCATCATGGTGTATAACTAATACTATGGGTATTCTAAATAGATTAAGTAATGTTATAAATAATATACCTGTGTTATGTTTGTCTGCAAGTTTGTTCCCAGCGTCTACATTTTCTTTGACATCCGCCATTGTTGCTGAGACACACTATCACCTGAAATAGAACAATAGTTGATTTTGTACGAGATAAGTTTTATCAACATTGTTATCTAGGTTGAGTTAATATAGACTGCGATGCATAATTATTGCATCCTTTATCTCACCACTATTTTGTTACCCGATGTTTATGTACCTACTAGGAAATGCATGTACCTATACCTAATGTAATACATAGGTAGGTAGGTATAAACATAGTATAATATATCTATATAATTTTCATACAATAGCTTATTTATCATTTATATACTTATTGTCTGTTCATTAGAGCTCTTTATATTTCTACATATAGCTGTATTTCTGATAGTACTTATGTAGTAGTACTAGCAACACATTTTCAGTACAACAAAGTCGCAATCGCCAACTGGTTTTCATATTATCACTTTCAAATACATGTGTGATAATAGCTGTTTAATACATTGTATGTGTCACCTACACATACACACGCTCATATATTAAATAGCTGTCTTGATGCCTAGGGGACATCTGTCCCACCGGCATAAAATAATAGACTACAATCATAGCTCGTTAACAAAATACTGTTTAACAAACAAACGTGTTTACACAACAAATTATTCTTAAATAGAGCAATGACTTTTATTTTAAGTCAACTTAAAAACTTTTTGGCAGAGACTTCGTGTTATTTTTTTTTTATTATTGTTATTTATTTTTAGTAGGTATTGTTTGTTTCTTACTTGATAAGAAGTTGTGTACACCGGCACTCTCGGCACGTTATCACTGAGCAATCGGTCACATACACTACGTAAACACAACGGAGACACGGAGCGCGGGACTCGCACGCCAACGAGATAAACACTGAATACTGCCTTACTTTGTGGAGCTGAGGCGCGAGCCCGGAGTGGGGCTGCCATACTCAACTAACATAAAACGCTCAATTGACGCTTGTACTCTTCTAATGAAGCTTCAATCAGTAGTTTAATAAATAGGTTGCTCTTCTCTTGACTCTGCTAAAATTAATCTTTTTTTCTTGTAATGAAATGAATTTAAGTATTTCTAGATATTAATAACTAATTCATACTTACATATCTTTACTTATATTAAAAGTAGTATAAGCAAAAGGTTTTGATTTTTTCTGACATTTTGTTTTTTAATAAATCTACTACGAAATCTGCTCAATAATTCTTGATGACTCATTTTGTGTTTTTATTTTACCTTATTAATGGGTAGTGATTTGAAACTGGTCACACCAGTTTACAGCTTCGCACTCCGCAACTACCGAGTGTATCCGAACTTGAACCGAAGTGCGCCGAACGATCGTATTGATGCCGGGAAAACATTTTCCGCGCCATTTTCTTTGGCGCGAGTGCGAGGGAGAATTTTGGCAAACAAAGGCCGAAAGGTGCCCTTTTGTAAGTACCCTGCGTATGGAACAAAGGACTATAACTCATTATCGATCATAATTTTCCTTTAGGTAACAAGTATTGCATATGTTAAGAATCAACGAAAAAATAAAGTAACTAGATACATTTTTAGCAAAACAAATAAAAATTTTATGTTTTCTGTATTTCTAAAGAGATTTCTGTATCAAACTTTCGTCTACGTTATTGTATAGAAATACGTTTACAATAATTATGATAATCTTCTTAACATTTATTAAAAACTTTTATTTCTATTCTGTTTATTTTCATCTTAATTCGAGTTGGACAAAAAATGGGCTCGATTGTTTATGGTTGATTCAATCATTAATAATGATTAAATATTTACATATTACAACTTCTCACAACTTTAGAGGCTAGCAGATGTGTATATATGATATAAAAATCAACACCCATTTTTATTTGCAGTTGCTGAGAGTCACAAGTTCATGAAACGCCGTAGTGGCCTGCAGGTTAAACGCTTGCTTCTCATAAGAAGTGTTGAAGTGGGTTATAGAAACGTGACGTTTTCCGAGTTCTTTGTAGTTTCTAAGATACTACTTAGTAATCATTACTTTGGACTGATCTTCCGCCATTGGTGTTCCCAAACCGATACGACCTTCAAACCTACAAGAAACGAGCGTACTCTATCGTAAAAGGCCGGCACCGCGCTTGTGACTCCTCTGGTGTCGCAGGTGTCCATCGGCGTCGACGATCGCTTACCATCAGGTGATACGACTGCTCGTTTGCCTCCGATTCAATTAAAAAAATAAGTAGTATTGTTTAGACATTCGATAAAGGAAAGCATCGTAATCGCTGCACTTGTATTGGGATAGACGGCTTTCCAACGTCTTGAGCTCGCGTCGTAATTAATTCTCAAACCTCCGTGTGTGAAGTTTTGGAATTTAATCCTCTGAACAGCATTAGACACTTGCTCACTGATGAAAGCTTCTGTAGTGTACCAGGGTAAAAAGTAATCTATTATTGTGCCAAATTTTATTTAGGTCCGTTTTGTAGTTCTTAAGTGAAAGAGTAACAAACATCCATCTTATCCGACATCCAATCCATACTTACGGACTTTCGCATCATGTGAAAAGAGCTCCATGTAAAAAGGGGTAAGCTTTCTGCCATACATTGGGCAACCTTCTCGAATTATTTTCACATCAAAATCCAAAAATTCCCATTACTGCTTGCCATTCTGGCTTGACAACCGCTGAACCAAGTATGAACAGTAAAATATTTAAGAATATTGTAGGTACCGATTTTTTGCATGAATTGAAGATTAATCAAGTTATATTTACATTCCAAAGTCATTAAAATAAATATCTAAAAAATAAGCACGTACGTAGTATTGTGGTGCTTTTGGGATACCGCTCGATGTAAGTCATTTGCCGTGTAATTCATTGGAAGAGACCTATCATCTACAGTATTATAATATGGTTTACTCTGTGATCTGCAATGGATGTCTCGAAATTGATATGTCGATGAACGAAACGCCAGAAGTAACTTAATAAAGTTATAAAATATTAAATTTCCTCATTAACGTTTCGACTTTTGAAATCAAGTCTTCTAGTCCTTGTAGTTGGAGGCACAGGCACATAATTATTTCAGAAATTTTAAATTCAGAATAACAGGTTTCCAATTTTAAATTCCATGATTGGCTGGTTGGGTTCTTAGTTTTTTAATTTTATTATAAAACAGATTGTCTTATCGTGCGATAACCTTTAGCAATATTGTAATGGGATTAATAACATATGGGTAAAGATGGACATCCTACAATACAAGCGCCATTACTTCATAGAAATAGCGAGCGTGATTTTATATTGCGTCAGAATTCAACAATGTTCTAAAGGTTTGAAATATTTGATACGGTTAATAAATTTAAATCGTGCAAGAGTACCTAATTGTATTACAGTTTTTTGCTTTTAAGTGCATCTTTAAAACCTTCGTTTGTCTGCTGTCTTGATCATGGACTTTTTATTTAGCTTTCTCGCTGCATTAACCATAGTGAAGCTTATTTAGCTATTAGTATTTTTGTACTACCTGCAAATGATCAAAACTCACATAATGGTGCTACTTCTACAATGGTGATATATTAAAACGGGAATAATTTCGTGGTGGCCCACATTTTCAACTCGAAAAAGGCCGCCGCAATTACCCTATTTTCAGAGTAAGCTGTGGTGATACGGGAATATGTGTATCTGGTATGTGCCTAGACTGTAGGACATCTACGATATTCCATCTCGAACCTCGTCCAAAGGCAATTGAAATAGTATTAGTAGCAATTAATTATGTTGTATTCATACAACATTTCCCATTAAACTTTTAAATACACTTTTGTAAGAATATTTTATATCACATAAATGATGGACTTATATATCACTTTAATTAAATATGATAATTATTTTCAAAAAGTCAGTAATCTTTTCCGATGTAAACATTAATTGTATTTATTTTTGCCCTCCACTATTTTATTTCACCCACAATCAAAACATACAATGAACTAATTGAAGATAACACCAAACTGAACTTTTAATAGTTTATTATAAAATTATTTACGGTTTTTTGTATTTTTGTCATTATAAACGTACTTAATAAATAATAATAAATTTAAAAGACACGTACAACGTGTGTTTACAGTATGTTTAATTTAATCTTACTTTAGTATGTACAGTCATAGGTAGAAAGTTGTACAAAACGATTGTGCATAGATGTTCTTCGTATAAAAAAGGGGGTAGTCCGTATCTAAGATGGCGTATACGGGGTGTCGATGTAACCGAGGGTGGGGCGAGGGCGTCGCAGGGCGGGCGGCGGCGGCGGTGGCGCACTCGTGCGCGAGCGCAGCACGACGTCCGCCGTGCGGGCGCCAGCGCAGGCTACAGCCACTTAGCCCTCCGCAGGAGCTTCTCCCTCTGCCGCCGCGCCCTTTGGCTTAGGTCCCTGCCACCCATCGCACATTTTTCGGAGGAACGCTGGAAACATAACACAATAGCATTAGAAAATCGAAATATACAAATGAAAATTTGTTATTTGCATAAATGAGTTATGAATAACAGATGACTTGCTGAGATGATTCGAAGACAGACTGAATAAATATTGGTTATGATTTAAGAAAATAAGTAAACATTATATAGAATGTGAAGCAGTAAAACAAATAGTTACGATAGTTCAAATAGAGAAGAACTGTAAAATTGTAGGTAAGCCTTAGATCAGCAGTTAGAAGAAACGGAGCGCAGATAGCTACATTGTGTACGACGGTCCACTTACGATCTTATTACTAAAGATATGACGAGATGTGTCGCCTCTACGCCATCACCTTCTTCAGGAATGCTGTAAATGGAAAATCGGTAAGACAAAGGGAACACACACATAACCTGGAAATATACCCTCATGCTTCATACACTTGGGCTGGGTAATACAAAGGGGTCTACTGAATTTAAACAGTACACTTTGTGCTAAAACAAATGAAGGCAATCAGGAATAATTAAGAAGGTACATTTATACATGCAGTAATATGGCTATTTGCTTTACAAAGGAATTTTGGAGGTGACTTTATGCATTTATTTGACTATGTATACGAGATAGGGTATAATGTAGATACTTTGGAAGGATTCAAACATTTCTAATATTTAAGACAAAACATTTACGTGCTAATATAAAATAATGTGTTGGGTTTCTAGCACAATCCGTGCCACAATCACGTCCTTCTAAAACATATTGTGAAACAAAACAAAGGAAATGATACTTACGTGCATAGGGGATCATGCCGTCGTCATCCTCAGCGTCCATGCAGTCCTTTGTGACTTCAGCGACTTCAGTATCTTCCAGTTTCTCACCTAAGTATTAAAAAAAACAGATAAGAAAAACACTACAGTACAGTATTACTAAGAGCTATCCGTAAGATTAGATGATACTAAAAGTATACGACGTTTAGTATTTTTATCTCTCATATGTGGTGGATACAACAACGAGCTGATTGATGTTTGCAATTTATCCATTCTTTAGCTACTCTTTTTGGTAGCTCACTGAACGCCCATTCCTACGTATAAAATTGTCTATAAGACGAAAGTTGAATTACCATAATTTTTATATTTATACACGGATTGCTATTACAAAAAGTAGAAAAAATAAAATACGAAACTAAAACCAGCTCTGTAGTGAAAATCATTATTTCGAAACGACGATCACTGGCGGCTAGCCAAGTGATTTCAGTTCATGTCCAACTGGAAATGAAGTTGATGCCAATTTATCTTATTGACACATTTGAGCCTCACAAAAAAATAAAAATATCCGCCGCCAAACAACACAGTACGTTTATGATCCCTGTGTTACATACTGACAAATTGCGTTTTACGATGTTTTAATCATGAATTTTATATGACTGTAAAAGCTGTCCTACATTTACATGCAGAAGTTTACTTCACAGATATTGGATTTTTAATATTTATAAAATTCTTCTTACCTAACGCAAGGAGCGTGTGTGTAAGCTCGGCGCCAAGCATAAGACCGTTTTCGTTCTTGTCGTACAGTTTCAGACATTCCAAGAAGTCTTCGTACTGTCCCTGGTCTTTGTCTTTCTTTGCTTGGCTGTAGATGGGAAGGAACTCTTCAAGCTGAAACAAAACAGTTTTTCAATCATCATTTAGCTTTAAGTCTCTTTCCTTGTTCATTCAAAACTTCAGAGATTATTAATTATTTTTCACACATTTTTTTGTCTAGTATTTTACTTTAACATGACCTAAATATTTTCTTAATCCCATAATTTCTTTCGTCTTCTATTCCAGCTAATCATTTACTACTTACGGTGAGCGTTTTCTCGCCCTTCTTCTTGGTACCACCGAGCTTCTCGATGGTGGCCAATGTGGGGTTGGAGTTCAATGCCCTCAAGACATCTCCTAGGTTGAAGGCATCGATTTTGCCGCTTCCATCGAAGTCGTAGATGGAGAAGGCGAAGGATGCCCCTGTACAACAAAACACATTCATGTAGATCATTATCTCATGAACTATCAATAAAAATAACAAGATTAAAGTAGTGTGGCCACGATATATGCACCTAGGGGTACTAACTTGAATTAAATTTATCACCAACTGATTATTAACACCACGTTCTTATTTTTCTAAATTCTTTATTTATTTCTTTATTCTTTATCGAAGCTATGAATATGAATACTACTAAGTACTACATAAATCAAACGAGGAAACAATTTAATTTAAACTGCTTTTCATAACTCCAGTTATTGATTATAAAATTTCATTGAAGTTCTCGAAACTACGGTATGTTTAAGTCAGGTAAAGCCGGAACGATGCGTGGGCGCACATTCTTCACGCCCAGAATAATACTTTTCCACAATACGTTTCAATATATTCAGTGTGAACTCCTGAGTCACATTCTAATTATAGCTCGATTGAAACAGTACCCTAAATAAAGCCAACTGTTAAGCCGCATTGAATTGTCACTATTTCTAACTTTTTTTATAAAAAAAATAAATGACAAAAACTTTTTTAAGCAATAGAAATATTTAAAAATAATCCGATTCAATAATATTTTAATAAAGTGTTCCTATAATTTTATTTCCAGAAATTTCTATTAAACCTTTGACATAGCTCAGCATTACTAAGCGCATGCGTAAAGTGCATTAGGATCAGCTGACTCAAGATCATTTACCGACCTTGATAATGACAGCTGATTTATAGTTGCAAATGTAAATGAAGTGACAGATATCCGTTGCATAAAATATACGTAGGTACTCCATGTACGTAGACTTTGATTCCCACGCTAAAACACACGTAGCGCGCTTGCAGTGAAATCTGAGTGGAGTTTCTCTGTTTGGGCGGGCGGCGATTCGGGATCACGTGACGCATGAGTTTAATTTTGGAACGCAGCGCGCGCGCAGCATGGCCGTGCCACTGGCGCTGCCGCCCGGCATCTCCTAGTAACGCGCACCTTTTTCAGAAACGATGCTAAACTTAGATGTTATCCTCACTCCCGTTTCATTTATGCAATGTTACTTCACTCGGATGGTAACAGATGACATACATTTCAATTACATGACAACTATCTATCCGTAACAATTTATGTTAATCCTGTAATCAATATTAGTGGTCCCCCATGTTTTAACACAACGACGAAACACGGTTATTGTGTTTTGCGGTGTTACAGCCCAGTTAATATAATTTAGTAAACAAAGTTATATATATAAATGTATACTTACTTTCAACGTCGTTCTTGCTGAGGTCGCTCTGAAAAGTACCAAAAATATTTCGTTATTTCCTTGTACGTAACAGTTGCCATGCATAGTGTAGTGGTATTAGTTGGTGTGTATTCACAGCTTTGGAGCTCAGTTTGTGTAGAAGCATTCAGATTATACGATACCATCTTCTTTCACTGATTCTTAAGCACAACACTGGTTTATTTTGCGGATGTTAAAGAGATCACATACAAGTCGCTCGCGAGCATCCGGTCTGCGGAATAACTTGCACGAGGAATAAACGCGTTTTATTTTTACGTATTTCTTTGTATTTATCACTTGTTAAGCTAACAGTCCATTTTCTCACTTAACACGTTGGCACAATTTCACTGCCGTCAGTGACTCACCATTTTGTGTGGTGTTAGTTGGTTCCCTCCCGGTCTTCACTGGCAGACGTTCAGACAAGAAGTGGGGCTCGGTAACTTTTCGCGGGACTGTTTTAACTGGCTTAGATGGCGCACCCGTCTGGATATTTGAGATTTAGCCCAGGAATCCGCGACCGTTCTATTTTCGGCGGAGTTGGTCCGTTTTCATAGCGTCGTCGGACACACAGTACACCTACAAGTGTAAAAGAGACGAAACGATTTTCCACCTGCCTAAGTGTGGATACGTGCTAACGCCGATTGTAATGTTAAATCTACATTTATGCTAAACTATTTCGATCAGAGCTTTGTGGTATAAGCTCTGCGGAAAGGTGTTGAAAATATGCTAGAAATCGACAGATTTGTATTTCAAGTATGAAGTGACTAGATCCCTTTATAATTGTACATACCATCCAAAATACAGTGTACAAAGTAAATTTTAAGAATGAATAATAATAAAAACTTTTAAATTGGTACTTAAACCTTTATTGTCAAAAGATGAATAGGATAAACAGACAGATTTAGCCGATTTCGTAGTAAGACAGTCAGTACTCGCCGCACTCATCAGGTTTTACATCGAAAGTATAGCCCTTCCAACGTGAAGAATGCACGAACGATTCGTTGACCGTGTTAAACTTCCAGACAACATTTCGGCTGGGTGAGGGCGATCGAAGAAGTCGTTGATCCAACAGACTAGCAGCTCGACGTCTTGCATCCGGAGATAAAGGACATAAGCCACGAGCAGCAAACGGAACCAGATTTTCCTGTAAAACGTTACGAATTTATTTGTTTCAGGTACCCTCAGTATATGCAGAACGTAGATATCAAAAGGAATTAATGAGTTATTATCTATTGTATCTCATAATAATACACCAGCAGACAGGAGTTAGAGTCCTATCACTTTCACTGCTACTAGTATTTTACCTATTTGTACCTACTTCTAGCACGTTGCATATATCATAAAATAATCTAGAACCGTCCTGATTTATTCATCTGTTCGTCATGCAACATCTTGAGAAGCGACATTGAAATCGAATTATATCTGATGTAATGCAGAATTTACTGAATTCTCTAGGTCAAGCGTAAAATTTAAAGCTGTTAGTAATTTATATATTTATTTGACTTTCTGCACAATTCACCCATGAATCAGGGCTTAGTACCTACAAGCCAGCTATTCTCGCTAGCCAACCTTTGGGTGATGAGAGATTACAACATTTTTATTTGTTCTATAAAAATGTTGTAATCTCTGAATCTGAATCATAGAATTCATCAACCAAACCAAGTACCTATCTTATTTTGTTTGCAACGACAGACGTATTAAAAGTCAGTTCTCCAATACAGACAACATAGTTTTAAAATAAATTCAAATAGAATAACTATAACTTCATTTTCATACCTTGCGTTTCCCGGGAGTCCTGCGTCGCCACCATCCTCGGATACGAGCTAGGAGTCTGGCGCCTTGAGAACGGCACCGACTGACTAGAGAACTTTTTTTCGACGCACTTGCCGCTGCAGACACTTTTGATTCTGCTGATACTAACTCCTTCATCATTGGCTAAATCAAATCAGATATTTATCATTACATTATTGGAATTATAAAATAAATAAATAAACTTTATTATTCACAAAAAGAGTTGACATGCATATACAAAATTATAGTATCCATTAGTACTGGATACAAAGGTGCTTTATCGCTAAAAGCGATCTCTAGCAGGCAACCTTTAGGTAGACGGAGTATTGTAGGTGTAGGTGGCAGTCCAGGTGTAATAATATAATTTAAAAAAAGTAGTGACTTTTTAGAACTTACACAAATGTGAGGTTCCTCGTCACGATTAGTAGAAACATTTTCTTCGGATGTATCAGCAGTCATTAATTCCACTTCTTGAAGAGTCATGCCTTTTGGGTCTTCTAATATAGGATCAACTTCATCTTCGGAATTTTGTTCATAATCACCTACATTAGAAATCATTTTAAGCCCATCAAGTATGATATTGTAACCGAGTCCCTGGCTTAGAGCAGAAAGAGTGGGGTAGTTTTTGGTCAATAAGAGTCTGACACTCTTTTTCGCCCCAGCCATGTCAAAAGAAGTTATTTAATGATTTGCCTTAAAAACCTATAAATAATACAACTACTTTAGGTACGTGAAAGCAGTGAAATTTTACTCACGATTCAAACTAAGGAATGCATTTTCATATCGTGCAACTTCACTACTCTCAACTAATCTCTCAGGGATATCGTCTTCACAAAGCTGTGAAAATCGAAATAATTTACTAAACATAATAAACATCACCCTTATAAAACACGAAGGAAGTTTATGAAACAATAAGGTATAGTAAATATTTAGGCAAATTACCTCTCTTATTTCTACATTAGGAACAAGATGAGAACGTGCACTACTTCTGTCAACATCACCAGATCCATCATCATGTATATAAAATGCAACATCTTTAGCGATGTCCTCTGCAAAAGCATCTGTCAAAAAGGAGTATTCGGAAGGTTCAGGGCTTGATGTTTTCTCCACCGTCATTATCATACCCGCTGCAGAATGTGAAGGCTGCTCAATTGTCATACCCAACGCCGTGTCTACATACGACTCCATAATTTTGTTCATTGCTTCAGTAAGCAACTCATTTGGCTCCGAATTATTATGTACGATTTCGGTATCATCGAATATCATTACTTTTTCAACTTCACTCATGTCAAAAAGATGATTAATAAACATTGATGTGGATTTCGTTAACTCGTTCTGGGGCTAAAAATATTCGTTACAGTTACAAAAAAAATTGTTTACCTACATAATATTAGTTAATGTAAAAAAATGTATAGAAGCTCACCGATTCAAGCTCTTCGTCTCCTTGACCAATAAGATTAGGTTCTGGCTTACTTTTTTGTAAATCATCTGAAATGTATGTATTTACATTACATTAGAAAAAAAACTAACGTGCTTATTAATTCTGTTATTTAGCAAGTCAATCTTTGTCGATTTTATTTTAGTCAACATTTCGCAATGTATTTCAGGATAACAGTATTGTTCAATTAAGGGAACCTACATACTCAGCTTGAAATAAGCTTTTGCGGAGCTATTTGAAGGCGAGTATACAGAAACAAATATGCTATCCAGTAACATTGTTTCAGTCACTTTAAATATTTGGCAGGCGTTTGAAATGTTACCTGAGTTAGAATTACCTGTAACTTTTTCCGGCGTCGATGTAGCAACTACATTGGCAGCATGTTCTATCTTATTTTCATTCACGATGTCACTGTCGCCCTTTGACGCCTCGAACGATGTGTCTTCATCGTGAGCATCACACTGTTTATCACTCTCAAAATTTTTCAACATTGACTGATAATGCCACGGATGACCTGTTATCGATATAACATTTAAAAGGCATACCTAAATAAACAAAATCTATTTGTAACTTTTTGTACAATAAACATGTGTACTTAAGTACACATATTTTTCTTAAATATAATTTAAATTATCATCTGCCGTCACATCTATATTATCCTAAGACGACCCACTGACCACATTCAGCTCAAGCCTTGTTCATACAAAATATTTGTTTGATAGTTTATCGATATAATATCTCACCCTTTTCTCCCTTCTTAGCAGTAGCATTAGCTATCACAAAAGCTTCATCTAAAACCTGACTGACAAGATGAGCTGCTAACATAGCTGCAAGCCGCGGTTCGCATGTTTGCTCGCCATCGACTGTGCGCAAAAAGAGCGGTTATTACTTAACTTGTTGTTATTTATTAATTGCAACGTTACGTACCTAAAAATAAATATCTATAAACATAAATAATAATTCTATATCCAAAAACACACCTTCCTTGTTGATCATCTTGACAGTTATGAATGACATCCGAATCTGTTTTTTTCTCTCGTACTTAAATACTTCCAGCCAGTGTAAACTTGATTCATGTGAACAAAGAGGTTTAATTTCAAATAGTTATTTAATCAATAATCAAACCTATAGTTAGGCACTTATTACTATTGTCTAACATCTTATCAAATTTGTTCATTGGTCCTAGTAAAGTAAATTAAAGTAATACCAAAAAACAGTCGGTCATTGTTTAGTGATATATAGATATGTAGTGATAAAATCGGTAATTTTCAAAGGCAGTCGTACAAAAGATACTTGAAAGTTGCATATACATAGGTACATGAACATTATTTTACAATCTATACAAGTATTGTATATCTTAATTTATATTCGGAGTTGAGTCACATTTTTATAAGTAACTAAAGAAACGTAAAATTATATTTAGAAGAAGCATTTTAGCTGTTTTTATACTTATGTATTTTCTATATGACTGTCGCTTTCATCGATTGTTTAATCGATCTGTGAACACTTTTATTTCTGGAAACAAATTCGTAGAAGCAAGAGACTCAACGTTTGATCATAGTTTTCAGAAACTGCCAAATTCGAAGCACCGAAATGGTTTTTAGGGCATCGAAACACTACGACTGAAATTGTTGATCTCTAATATAAAAATATACTTACAGATGTGATGAGCATCAATATACTTACAGATGTGAGTGTGAGGTAAGTAGTTTACATTAATTATGTGCAGGAAAATGCCAAATTACAAAATATAAGCTTGATCATACGTAATTTACCGTCAAAGTATGTACAACTTCTGTCATTACTCATTCTGCTATCGTTTATCTTACTAGCATCAACATTTTATCAAAATAATTTCTGTATCTTATAATAAAGTCTCTCAAATACGTAAAAAGCAGTTTCCATTCAAAATACAACGTCGCTATTTCGGTAACGCCCAGCCAATAGCTATAGTATGTTGCATATATATTCTCAAACTTCAACCTCGTTCTATTTTTGTAGAAGTTTCGTGATTGTATCTCGGAATAATTTGTTATGAACCAGGAATATGGTATAACTCTGACAAAAAATCACAAATTAACAAACTATCTTCAAACAGGTACATAAATTAATATGCTCCTAACGAGTTGAGTCATAAATTAAGAAAGAAGAGGTGTGTCGAAAAGTCGGCGCATAATTGTGAAACTCTATAGCTTCAAGACGATGTGGCTCTAACAATACTCCGTGACATCATACCTACCTGTGTATTTACTTATTAAAAATGTATCTACACACCTACATAGCTGTTTGAGTAATTAACAACCATTGTTTTTTCAACTAGCTAAAGCTTGGGAGTGGGCCTGACTGATAAGTAATCTATGCACGTAGGTATTTAAGTCTTATCCCATGACATAACAATATCAATATCAATAAGGTACCTACAACATTTCTGGAAAAAAACTGTATATACTCAGCTAGCTATTTCACTTTTTAAACATATAGGTAATTCTGGAAAGAAATATTTTCACGAAATAAAATAGATATGCCGAAACATTAATTTTGAGCGTGATTCATTAAGGTGACGTAACAAGGTGATGTCTCCTATATATTATTTTAACTTCCTTCACCCGATGTGGGCGGGAATAAACACAGCAGTAGGTTCATATACGTTTGGATTGTCCATAAAGTTATTTTAAACTCGTTGTATAATAAGTACGTAAACCCGTGCATTGCAGTTGGAATTTACAATGTACGAAATATTTGTTCTGCATCGCAACTGCTTTAAAGAGCGGCATCTACGCTGATACTTTACAGTTTTTACATATGATACGGATGGTGCCACCGTTTAGTCATCAACTCGCTTGGTGGTAGGCAGTGAAGTAAGTAGTCCACGGTTTTTTTTGTCAGGGGAAAATCACTAAATGCCTTTCCCCGGCCAGGGTAAGGCGAAAGAGAGTGTCAGTCTCTTACTGACTATTGCGCTTGCCCCGCAACCCAGTCGGGGTTGTCCAATGTAGTTAACGGTAGCGTATAATAAAAGTCCACAGTAGATCACGCCTGCTTAAAAGCAACGTATTCACTGGGGACTTAAAGGCATAATAAGGTTTTACTCTTTGAAAAAGTTTTTAACTCTTGCAGTTGTCGAAAAAATATTAAAGTTAAAATATCTTTCAAAATATTTATTTAACAACAAAAAGCTAACGTACCTTAGGCTTAGACAATGCAATTATTGCAAAGGTAGTGAACAATGCATTTTTCTGCTTGACATTCCATCATACCACGCCAAAGATACTACATGCCACTGACACACATTCATCATAGGTCTAGTTATATTTACAATACCTAAGACATCATACGATAAGATTTTGATGAAACAACAAGGTAAAATGCGTGTGCCAATTAAATTGCCTTCACTCTAATGACTTCAAATGATTGGAGATTTAAGAATAAGAAATTACGGCACAAGTTATTTTATAGTAAGAAGGTATTTGAAATAAGATACATACAATGGCTATTAAAATAACAGAGCTTTACACATGGTGCTACTTTGCTAAGCACTTGTCAGGTCCTACAAAATATCTAAAACATAGTGTATCGATCGATCGATGAATAAAAGTATAGTTATTTTTCAATATTTTATTGTATTGAAACGTCGAATCAATTTATTTTTGACATGAAACTACCCAATTTTAAGAGAAGGCGACAGGGCAATAAACGGGCTTATAAAAGTAAGATTATACATAGATATATAATTAAGTATCTACTTACAAAAGTTTGAATTGAAAAACAGCTATTTGAAAAGATTAAAATTGGTCTTAAGAGGACCAAAATCTCATCAAACCTTCATTTAAAAGACACGTTCAACAATATGAATCACATACTTATATATTTTTGAATCCGATTGTTAACCATTTCTCTTTCCTAACTTCTCCCACTTTTCTACTTTTACCTATTAACTTATATCAAAAGTATGTTTACAGTGTAAAATTATGTTTTCGCTTCGATGGATGTTCAATACTGATTTAAGCAGGGATCTGGAACTTCAAGGAGCTATGCCTTCGATCAACGTGATAAGCCCTATACTGCTCTTAATTTTATATGAGTTGTATACAAAATTATATGTTGTAGGTGTATGATAATTTGAATGCTAATTAAAAAAATAAGTATGAGTAGGTTTTGGAAAATAAATTTTAATTAAAAGAACATTTACAACGGCTAATTGGTCACAAAATCTGATGGCTGCATAAAACAATGACAATGTATGTGTACACAACCAACGGAAACAATCTACAAAATGGGTACTGTTAGTGGTGGCGCTCCCTGGACGTCTCTATTTATAAAGTAAATTGCTTGCCGCTAAGTGAACATTGATATCTATGCCAATCTTGTTAATTCAATGTCTTTGTTCACTATTTTATACGGACACGTATTAAATAAATTACGTACACGAGGGTTGATCATTATGTAAAGTAGGTACTTAAAATCAGATTTCATTAGGTAGGTACCTACGTTTTCCAAATTATTATTATAATTTAATTTCATAAATCTAGTCAATAGAATCATGATGGTGAATAAAAGTCTGGCCTACATTTTCAGCTGCTCTTAAAGCAGCCATGTTGCCGTTTCTATGGCAACCGGAGGCTGCCTCTCCGCCTCTCGACCCGCGCGCACAGATCAATGCTGAAAATTTTCCAGGGCTGTTAGGAAGCATAGTAGGATTAAGGTTTATCTTTAATACAAATCGAACAAGACTATTTCTTTGATGCTACCTTATAGCTTAAAGCACAGCTTTCAGAGTATACAGAGAACTCATTAGAAGGATTTATTTTGGAAAATGAAGAGTACAGTTAATGTGAGAACAACATAGAAAAGCAACATACATTATCATGTTACTTTAATAAAGTTATAAATTATTCAATAATGTCGGTTGGGAAAATGGGAATAGCTTAGATCGGAAAAACTTAGTAGTGCCAACCCTAGCCGTCTGTCTCGTCACAATTGCGCGGAACCTCATTTCCAGTCTCGCGTCCCTTGGAAGAGGTCCTCGCTTCCTCCCTTATTTCCCCATCGTGTCACCATACCATGTAAACAGTGGTGTTCCCATGTGTCACAAGCAATGTGTTAATTACTGCAAGTAAGGTATGTTTTGCAACCTGTAATGGAAAAGTTTCACTTACTTTAATTATGTAACACCTTTTAAGTTCATTAGTTCTAAGGAAAGATAGATAGTATCTAACAAATTAATTATTCCTGGTAGGTGTGATTATTAAGCATTTTACTGCGTTACAACTTTTTCAGTTCTACCTACGTCTTGTGAGTTGACTAACGACGCGACATCAGTCATCGGAATGGAATAAAAATTAAACTAGTGTCTTGAATTGTCGCAGGAATTCTTTAAGAAAATTCCTTGCCCAGACGTTAAATATCAACGTACAGATTTATCAACTTGGATAATATAAAAAATAGAATAAGTTACTGAATTACAGTACTTAGTTAGTACTATTCTATTAAAGCTATCAATCGATATTTTGTCATCAGGATTTATTCCTTGCAATGAAATCTAAAGACATGTCCGAAGAAGATCCTAATTCCGATGAGGTGGTCCCGATTCCAGTTCAGATTTTCCTGTGGAGACAAACCACCCCGTTCGTGAGACCGCGCCTAGGCAAGGTCCATGATGCGGCATGTATGGTAAGCAAAACCTTATTGTAAAGCAAGCTATATAATTGTAAAATAACACAAAACGCCTAAAATAAATGTTACGCAAAATGTGTGTACATACGCTAAACGCCTGAACACTGATTGTTTGTTTTTAAAGGAAAATAATAATGACCTTATTGATTAGATCATCACCTAGATACATGCACCACTCAGGTTCCACACAGTTAGTATCTATTTTCGTGGATTTAAATAAAATACACGTAAATTATTAGGCAGAAAAACGGCCTAGGCGACTGAATTTGTGCCGTTAATGTTTAAAAGACAACAAAAAATATATTTACGCCTATTACAATTCCAATTATAACCTTCACTCTAGTCTTCACAATACCTACTAAATTATAAAATACCTAAAAAAACCAGATCCAATATCCAGAGCTCCACAGCTACAATACTACTTAAGACGTCACTAAATATATTGTGCACAATCTATATCAAATATATGGCCGTGTTTATCATCTCCCGTATGGTCTAGTGGCTAGGATACCTGGCTTTCACCCAGGAGGCTCGGGTTCGATTCCCGGTACGGGAAAACTTTTTGCTGTTCAATTTTATGTGCTGTAGTGATGTTGTTGATTGTAAAGTGTCACTTATTTGTTAAAAACACGCAGTTCTGTCAACGTGCTCCTGGACACCATGTAAGTTATCACATAAATGTGCTTTCTCATTATTTATTGTCTCTTGTTGTTGTAGATGTTTGATTATTTTGTGTTCTACGTTTCAATTGGCTTCAACCCGTTTCATTTCCAAATTATGCAAAAAAAAGGTAAATTATATATTTCTCCATTTATTTTTTATAGTATACTCAAATATACTCCAACATGCTCTGATATTATCAGAGTGAAACTTTACAAGTTTTTAATATTTATTACAATTATTAATTTCTTCTGGCTTTCTTTATTACCTATTACCAAACGCCGGCAAAAATAATTTAAAAAATATTTCAATCATTTCAATGAACAAAAACGTCAAATAGGTTGACATACTTGACATTGACATGTTTACCTTTAAGAACTTTCGTATTTGCAAGAAATTCAAATTAATTTACCGATAAAACCTTTTATTTTTATTTAATAATAAATATATTTTATCACAAACGCATCCTAGGAAGTAAAAGAAGCTTGTAAGGTAAGAAGTTTTTGATATAAAATAGAAAATTTAACGAATTTATTTAATATGAATGATTTGTTTACTCTGGCTTATTTATTTCCTTTTTAAAAGTGAAAATATTTTAAAATACCCATAACTGATTCTAGAAGATATTTGCAGTTTCATTTGATTTTAACTTGCATAGCGTTTCAAGTTTAAGCAAATTAATGTAATATCAAATAAGTAAATACTAAAGAACATAGGTAATTCAGTATGTACTTGATTATTTAGACAAATTTTATTACTAACTTACAGTCATTTGAGAAAGTTCTAGTACAGAACTTGCGGTTTGGGCTCTCTATTAGCCTAGCGGAAGCTATAGGCTCTATTCCACGATGGAGACTCATACAAGCCTCGCTGCCTCATGTGATGCACGCTTTAGCTGCTCTGTTACACAACAGGTAATATTCCTTATTTTATATTTTTCATGGTTATTTATCATTTATATAAGTAATTGTATGAATCCCTCTTAATGGGTTTTGATAAGTGCTGCCTTTATTTTTATCTCCTACTGTTTTTCATTATGTGGCTGGCGAGACCAAAGTTTTGGCAATCCCAGATGTTAACCTTTCTCTACTTAGACATTGAACTTTGCGAGCCAGTTTAATTATTTTAGTTGTGATTCAATATAGGTAGCAACCAATGTGCTGTTAAGGGTGCCATTCTCACACAAAACAATTCTTTGTATGATTTATGAATTGTTGTTTGAGTGATGGGCATTGCACAGTGGTGTAGTGTGTGTCACCTCTCCCCATAAGTAATTGTGGTGTAGGTATAGGTACTCTTATGAGATATCACTAAGGAATTTAGGTCATATGTGACTTTAAGTATAAACAGTGTCATATTTAATCCTTTTAAATGTATCAAATAATATCATATTAATTATCTTGAATTTGTAACTAGACCCTAATATAAACAATGTAACCAGATACATTATTAACCTATTTTATAATTATATAAAAGGGATGAATTTTCCTAAATATATTCAGTGTATACTCAACGCCCGTTTGTTTCATTTCACTCCGCTTCATCCGCACATTGCAGTGGTGACACAAAGTATAAGTTTATAAACATACCTACATATAAAAAACATACGACTATATGACGGAAGAAAATCCCAGTGTTGAGCAACTCTTTCAATGTTACCTTAAGATTCACTAGAAAATTATTTACAAGTTGTTTTATAAATAAATAATAAATCTATATTGGAGTTTTGTAATTATAATATAAATGAGAATTTTATTTACAGAGTGAAAGACAACATGCAGTCTTTGGGCAATGTGGAAACCAAGTTACTATACACCCTTCACTGGATCCTCCTTGATGCGTCAGACGAATGCATTGAAGCGGACTATGAAAATGGGGTATTCTACTCAAACCCTTTCCATTACCTCTTCTCAATACCTGCTTTAACCGTAAGTAATTTTAATTACTTACGGTAAAATTAAAAAAAAGAAATAAATTGTTATGTCATTTAAATAGTAATTCAACGCATAAAGTTTCTTTTACCCACATTTTTCTACTTCTTTGCGTTATTAAGGGAATTAATATTGTTTTATTTTTCAGCTGTTTGTTTTCCTGTTTGCACCCCTGTCTCACCACCTGAAAGAGTCAGACTTCACAAACAACTATCGGTTAGAGAATGGCCTTAAGATGTGGCAAGCTATGTGGGAGTTCAGACATCCTGAAGCCCCATGTTTCACCACTCTGGTCAAGCCAAAACCCAAGCCTTTAGGTGGCAAGTATTCCAAGAGACATCAACCAGGCGACGTGTTTATGGGACGTATGTAGAGAAACCTATCATACTTTTACTCTTTAGTAATTTCATTACTAACGACTATAATTTATGGTATTTTTCCTTAACATGATTTTTGCGATTGCATCCCCTGGACCGACCCCGCTGGAGTTTGTTTATTTACAACTGTAATCAATTTCTAATTTCTTTTTTGTATTTAGCAACCCTTGGGCGTATGCGTGTAACCTTTTTGTACCTATTTGAGCTTGATTTTGATGAAATGTATGACTACTCCTGCATTATGATAAGCATTCTCAAACTCTTAAGCGTGTGATGTTGTGATACGTGATTTTATGTACGCCTAATATCTATGCACTCTACATAGTAACTACTAAAATAGGACAAGAAACTAATTAGATTTTTTTAATTTCTTAGGTAAATTGTCCAAAGAAGAAGGAGGCGGAGGTAATGTGAACGGGAGCCCACCGAGTCAGAACGTGTCGATATCGCAGTCGGAAGTGACGTCAAAACAGGCCAGCACGGAAGAGGAACCTTGGCTGTCATCACCCAAGGACACTATTTTCCCTGAAACTATACCTGAAGAGAGTTCTAGTACTGAAGAAGAGCATGTGGTAAGAATTTTACTTTACTTAGACTTTTATTTTATTATACAGATTTAAAAAGTATTGTTCCCTTATTTAGTAAAAAATCAATAAAACCCTAAACCAGTGTCATGGAGTATAAAAACTTAAATAAAGTTTTCCTTTTTTAATCAAAATGTCGAATCTTTTTAAGAAAAAAATAGAAATTTAAATGAAATAGTAAATGTAAATCACCTGGTTTTGTTATTGACAGTTTATCTACCGTCTTCCTTCGGAGCAAAATTTTGGAGGTGCCGTGAAAGAAGCCTACACAGTCTACGCAGCCGATCCCAGTATATTTCAACCACGGAAAACGGATACGTCAAAGCAGGGACTTCCGGGTATCAAACCTTTGCCACAAATTACTAAAATGAGGTAAGGATGAATATGGAACTGGATCCTAGCCTACTTATATGGTAGATCAAAAACCATATAGAAAATATTTATTTGACTGTCAGGTTTAGTAACACCTAAAGCTTTAAACACCAAACTAACACTTCTCTGCACCAACCTTGTGGTTGGCTGATAGGAATGCCTTTTGGCATTAATTCCGCCTTTATTTGTACATACCTAAAGTGTAAAATAAATAAACACAATAGGTATCAACTTTTAAAGCCGTAATAATTTTCCTTCGTTATTTTTCTATTTACAGTTCATCAGATAAAGAATCACTGTCGGACAGTGGCGGTGGAGGTGGTCCTACCAAAGATACACCAACTACGGAAAAACCACCGTCTGCAAAACAAGGGAATGTAAGTCCTAATTAGATAAAGATAAGGTTCATTATTAGTCAGAAGAACTTGTGAAACTGTGATATGATTTCAGGTATCTGCAGCTACGTTCCTAGACGTAGCTACAATGAGGTGCTTGTTTACATCTCAATGGCAAGAAGAAGGCGTGTATTGGGCACTACACTACTTATACAACAGGTAGGCATTTACTGAAAAATCCTTAAACAACTATTTAATTGAATTCTATACTTAACAAATCTTCAATTATTTTAGGTTGCGAGACATATGCGACGATATGTCGAAACAAACGCAGCCAAGAAAGCGAAGCAATTCTTTACCAATACCAAAAATTGAAGTCTCCGTGTACCAGAGCCCAGACATAAAAGACCGAGATTCGCTAAAGAACTTCATCGAAGTCCCAGAAGTCAAGGACATGTCGCCCATCACAGAGATGCCATTCACTTCGCCAACCAAAACGGAAGATGAGAATATAATGACGAGAAGATCCAGCGAGAAGATTAAACGAAAAATGAAAATGGCCGACCTTAAAGCCTTTGTGGAAACGAAGCTACTGTCCAAGTCAGAAAAGGCTCTAGAGAAGATCGGACACGATGACCACAAGTTCTCCTTCCACTCAGCAGTTAGGATGCTATCTGTAGCTATATTTTTCTCTTATTTTAAACCTCTTCTCTTATGTACCTAATACTTTAATTTAAATATTATTTCAGGAATACCACAGAAGCTTGGACAATACGGATGATCGTCCTAATTCGGCGCTAGCGAGCAACTTCCCGCCTCTAGCCCCCAGGCTCACCGGCGACATGTTCCATTGCAATCTTATCAAAGGCAAAAGTATGCCCAGCCTTAGGTAAATATCTTCAGCCAATTTTTAAGTTTTTTTTCATGGCATTTTCCATTTGAACTTTTATACATACTTATACTTAGCTATGGATTTTTTTAATAAAACCTTCATAAGTACCTTTAGTTGAATCAAAAAACGTAGACAGTTTTTTGTATTTACTTGAAAACCAGCAGTGTGTTGTCATTATTTTTTCATTGATTACAATAGATAATATAGGTTTTTAATAGAAGTAGTATATTATAATTATTTTTTAGATATATAAACGGAGGGGGAGAAATATGACTCCCAAGACGGAATTTGGTTATACATTGCATTTTGTAAGAACACTTCGAAGATCAGACAATATTGCTCAGTTCTCCCTCTCTCTTACACTTTTTTCAAAGATCTCACGAGCTGAACTAATCGCTAAGCAACAGCAATTACAATTTCCATCGGTATTCACAAAATCTGACTCTAAATTGGCTCTATCAGTCACTTTAATTTCATTTCCAAAGCACAGCATGTTTATTTATCAACACAAAATTCTCGGTGAAAATTCTATTTAAAAATTGTATTTATTCTCTTTCTCCCATCTTGTTGACGCTTGTACCCGTACACTATTGTAATGGACGAACGATTCGGTCGCTAGCTGTTTGATTGATGAGCTAGCATCCAATGGGTAAGTGAGCAAATTAACAAAGAAATTAGAGGCTTCGTAACTTAGACGCTAGTCATGCTCGCAGGATTGGTAATACACGTACTAGTATTACGATATTCGTTAGGCGTAGAGGTTTTGCTTCAAGTTTCAGCACATCCGATATGAGGCCTTATTGCTACAAACAGTAGGCTTGTTTCCGCACATCAGACAATTACTTTGATCGAATAACAATTACACACAGACACACACTGTCACATTTTACAATTAAACAGAACATCAAAGTAGTTGTATGCACGCACAATGCTCATTAGATTTCAATACACAATTCATAAAGAATTATTGCATTAGAACGTAAAACAATAGTAAGATTACGTAGTTAGATACAGTGATTTATTAAATCTATTCATTTAGTTCGAGGCTTCATTGGACGCGATAATGTGTTCAATCCATGCAAACATTATTTACAACTAATATAAATAATAAAAGCGTACAATTTTGAACTTTAATGCTTCACGTTAAGAACATTATCCGATTGTAATTTAGTCGTAAAATCATGAAAATGTCACCAACGTAATACAATATATTTAAGCATGTCTCAACACTAAATATTTAGCATGAACAAAACACACAACAAAACACAGGTATGATGTGGAATTAATGATTACAAAACAATGTTATATAATCTATAAAAAATACGTATTAAAATAAACAATAAAAATCAAAATAATGGTAAGTATTTCCAACCTGTAAAAAAGCTATTTGTAATTGAGGAAGATGATTACAGATACATTGAAGAAGTGAAGACGGAACGAACTCAAGGTCCCTCCCACGCAATGCCAACCAACGCACAGAAGAAGAAGAACCCAATCATTACTGTGACCGAACATACACCGACGCCGTCACCCGACTATTTATCTAAGACTAGACAGGTAAACATTCTAAAAATTACCTACCTAATTAGGCACTGCAATAATTAAAGGCGATCGATCAGAATGGTTGGTAGTTATTTAGAATATGACAATCCCCAGGGCGCGAAAAGTCATTTCAATATGGAATTTCGTTTCTGTTCACGGGATCACAGGATCCCGGATCTTTGGAAGGCGTACGAGGGGCCGAAGCCAACTCGCAAAGACCCTTTGAACAACTTTAATATAAGTGAAGTGGGACATCAGCCGGATATGGAATTATTATTAGGGGATGGGATGGGAAGGCTTTTCGCGCCCAGCCAGGCCACATTGACTATTGCGTTTTCTCCGCAACCCTAGCTGGATAAGATATTTAGAGGACCAGGACGTAATACTCAATAGTTCATCATTGCATGCCATAATATGTGCTTAAAACAGTTGGTGTTAGACACAGAATCAGTTATAGACTCTGTCGACCAAAGGAAAAGGAATTTTGACAATGCAATGGGAATTTTGCTTGGAGAGTGGATGAAAGCACTTTTTGATTAGAAAAAAATACCTACAATCAAATTCTTAATTCTGTAACGCAGAACAATGTCGGATGTATTCTAAGTGTTCGGGACTTAGAAAATATCCTATCCTGTTGGTTGTCATGATCTCTTTGTTATAAAGTATGTAACGTAACATTTACCCATGTAACCATAACAGATTGTGTAAGACTAAAAGAATTTTGACGTATCGCACACAAACCTGAGAGTTTTAAGGAACACTGAATTAGACCAAAGAATATAAACATTATTTTTTATAAATAAATACAAAAATTACAAGGACTGTATACTTTTGGGGTGTACATCTAATACTTGCCTTTTTTTGCCTGCATCCTTTTTCGATTTTATTTCTATTTTATTTGCCACAGGGATCATTAGAGTCTCAAATAGACTCAGTAAGCATGCAAGGCTCCCAACATATACCGACACCTGAACGCAAGCCCAGCTTGACTCGGTCGCAAACGGATTCCAACATAACGTACGTCGTGGAAGAGATACAAGAGGCGCCTGGTTCTATTCACTATATTACAAAGGATGGTGATATTGACTTTCAAGTTGTTCTCAAGGCAAGTTTTTTTTAAATATGAGTCATGAGACATACTAAATTTATTCAAAATAAAGGCTTACTCAGTACGAGTCGCGTATATACATATAAATATTAGCGACAGTAAAATATCTGCATTGGACATACACAACTAAGACATTTCAATGACGCTAATATTTGCATCTGAAAGAAGCCCACCAACTTCTGACAGTAGCTGACTGATTTATCGTTAAAATTGAAATTTTCAGGCAGTATACTCAGTTTCAACGATGGACAGTTTCTACATAACCCTTCGTGTAATGGAAGTTATGCTAAACTTAGTCGATACCCTCATGGAAATGGGGGTTCACAAAAATTGGCAATCTGGCAAGAGTGACGACGTGCAACCAGGAAACGTTGACCCTTTGGGTGATTTTAACAAAGATAAGGATAGCAAAGTAGGTTGAATTTGTGTATTATTGATATTTTTGCTAATCTAGACTAGAGTAGCAAAAATGATCTAGATCTAGAGTAGCAAAAATGATCTATCATTTTCATATATATATAAATATATTGTATCCACATTACAGGGCTATATACAAAAACAGTAGTTTTGAAATAATTATTTAATTATTAAATGGTAAACTATTTAATTTTGTGAAAACTAAATAGACTACAAAACAGCACTTCTACGTGTAGATGTTATTAAAAATAGCTTAGTGATTATTTGTCAATCCTATTTGTTTTCTCTAAGCAGATAAACAAACCAAAAGCACAACAAAGGTAGTTATGTATTTTGTATCGCTTCCACTTTGTTAAAGGAAAGAGATTCTGGTATTCCTTGCGCCCAAAGCCAGGACTCTACAAACCTTGAAGGAGGAGACAGCACAAAGGAGAGAACTAAAGAGGAAGACAACATGGATTGCCCGTATTACATGATCATGCATGTTATACTGCGGTAAGTAATGTATATTATAACAAAAAATCTCTCATACAGAAATCAACTTTACGGTTTTGCAATAAAGTCGAAATTCTTTGAAAGTATGATAGTGCAGAACAAGATGATGCTGCTGCTATATCAAGAGACTTGTCTTTTATATTCTAGAACTCATTTAACAGCTACAAATTTTCAAACTAAATGCTTTTGTAATATAGTTTAAAACTGCTTAAAGTCTAGCAGTTCAGAATAACTTGATGTCGCTTGTATATAAAAACGGATCTGCAATACTGGGGTTTCTCATTTCGTATACTCCAGCCATAAACCGACTTTATTGCTTTACCATAAGGTAAAAAATCCACTAAAGCTTAACAGGTCAGTTCAAATGAGTAGTAGATATGTTCAATTTTCTTTCCCTCATTCCTAGGTTACTCCGTCAACTAGGCTGTTCACACGGTTGTACCACCGCTCTCCGTGGTCCTCAAGCAGAATGCTTACGAGTCCAAGCAAGGAACTCTCTTCGTCAACTGCGGTCAGCTTCCATACCTAAGTTCACTACTCGGTTGAAGGAAATGACCAAGTATGCTCCCATACGAGAAGTTCTCGATAATTTACATGCAGCTGTCGGATTTTGTGCTGAGCCTGCTACTTTGGTATCGCCTATGAGTAAGTATTGATAACAATATTTATAAACCGTTTATTTAAAAAAATCTAAAAAATCCTGGTATGGTTCTTAGATCTGCAGATCTGCTCATGTAGGTAGTAAGTTGTGGATGTTGAATTAAAGTATATGGTTGTTGCTAAAGCAAAAGAAGTCAAAACAGAGGTTCTTATTTCTTTATCGGCTTATCAGTACGAGTACCTATCTGTTTCATGCCAAATAGAGAAGTCTGTAAAATTTCGTGCTATTTTTACCATTACTTTTTCAATACAGGGACCATGTTTTTCTAAAACCAGAGTATAATGGCGGGAGCTAGCTTTAAGTCACTTTTACTTTTAATACTTAAATATTGTTCACAGACCAACAAAAGCGCAGTAACACAAAATCTCCTGATATAAGTAATCTGCAAACTGGTTATGCAACCAATTTTGGGGCAGGCCAGGGACCGAATGCAAGCCGCGCTATAGAAACGTTCATAATCGAAACCACGTTCCGAGTACTCGTCACTCGATTCGCTTTGATGCATAAGGAACTAAAAATGCTTGATAACTCTGTAAGTACTCCTATAATAATAATAAAGAAACCTCTCTCCTATAGAAATAGAGAATAAGATTTTTCTCATGTCCAAGAAGTGAACTGCCTGCCTGGTGAAAAGCAGATACCATACGTAACTTAAGAGATTTAAAAATAGCACTTTACATTAACAAAACTTTTACTTTAAAAAAATATGATTTACTATTTGGCAAGGTAATTCTAATAGTTTCAAGCCACGCCAGAAACTCATAGCCCTTTTCTGAGGTGAGAGAGACTGACAGACTTTTACAGACTAAAAGTAAACTCATTCCTTCTCCTGCTCTGGCCCTGGCCGCGGGTCATCAATGCTCTCAACCCTGGCTGGTTGCCGAAATACATTAAAATCCAATCACCAAATAAAATAATGTTTTTCTCTAGACGCTATACATGGAAGTTCGTCTGCTACTAAGCTATGTACGAGAAGCTCACGGCGGCGAATTCCGAGTGGTAGCGTTTAGCGCACTTCTGGACACTGCAGAAAGACCTGATAGCCAACAGAAGGAATCTAACATGCAGACTACTAGAGTTATTAGGTGTGTAACTTTGCTAGTATATAAATTTTAATTTAGGCTTTCAGGGTTTATTTCTATAAAAAAAATGGTACAAGAATTTGCGCATTCTATTAATGATATTGCGCTTAAATATCCAGCGCAATGTGTGTGTGCAAAACACAACTTAGCGTAAAAAATTTGCTGCTTCTATCAAAAATCTGAAAAGTCAAAATGAAAGAAGAAAGCTATCTTTGAAATACAATAATCTTCTTTATATATAAAAATGGATCGCAAAATATGTTGGTAAGCGCATAACTAAACAACGCCTGGACCAATTTTGCTAATTCTTTTTTTGTTGTGTTTTTTATTGTCAGGAGAAGGTTCTTATCAAAGAAAATATTAGAAAAGTAGAGGGGAAAGTTAGCAAAAAGTGACCCTTTGATAGCGAGATAGTTGGACCCGTGGAAAGCGGGGGCGGGCCGCTAGTAAGTGATAAAAACAAATATGAAAATACTTTATCTGTGATTTACCTATGCTAGCTGTAGTATGAATTACAACAGAAACTTCTTCTTATTTTACCTGCATTTTATTTTATTTTACCTACATATTGCATTATATACAATTGCAGGCACATTCCTCGTCAAAGCGAAGAGGAACGTGGCTCTGATACCGGTGCTGACTCGGGCTGTGCTCCTGACGAGAAATCACACAAGAAGTTCACTTTTAAAAAGAGAAGTACTTCGTCAACGGGAGCGCATGTAAGTAAAATTATATTTTGATACATCAAATTAGTTAATGCTTATAGCGTACGGCTAAGCTCACGCAATATATAAATCCGTACTTATTATGATCGGCTAGACTAGCAGTACAATGGATGTAAATCGAAAATATTTATTGAAATGTCTGGTTTGATTTTCAATGCTACTCGACTATAAAGGCCGGTAAATCATTATGTATCTAATACTTAATATATTTTACGAGTATGCATAATTTTGTAGCCTAGTAAAATACATAAGGTGATGAATAAATACATATGTTACCTCAATCAAAAAAGCTTCAAGGTTTTGTTCAACACTTTGTCTATAAGTTTTATTAACTTTGTTATTATGTCAAATTTTGCAGAGCCTCTTAGAAACGGAAGGAGGTGAAGAGTCCGCGAGTCAGTCCCCTTTATCAGTTCGTACGCGACGTTACCAGCTGACGCCGCGCCAGTCAGAGCGAACCATCCCCTCCGCATCCTCGGCCGATATCACGCCGCACCACAAGATCTCGCACTCCAAGTCCATTCCTTCAAAGTTCCACATCGCTGGCATTGGTAAAATTAAATTAATTTCCGTATTACCAAGTTAATGTATGTCGCAGCTAAATAAGCTTAATTAACAATTGAACTTCGGTTCGTTTATTATGTAGTACTAAAAGGGAGTATTAGGAATTCGGCGCTATACGGAACTAATGCTGTGACCCAGTAGAGATTTTGACAGCGTTATTTTTATAAAAGCTACAGTAATTGGACAAGGGATAAAAAGGGCCTCACGCTACATTTACGCCATCTAGTGTGCGATAAACGGCAGTCCCGACTGAAATAGTTTTGAACTACTTTACGTTACAGTTCTGACTAATTTAATAAAGAAATATAAAATATCATGTATGTTTAATCACTACATAGTATAAAACAAAGTCGTTTTCCATATCTCTATGTATTAAATAGAGATAGTAGAGTGATTGAGGAGGAAGGTGTGTATGTAAAATAACGTCTATTAAATAGTAGATAAATTTTGTATCAGCTTTGCACTGTTGAGCTAGGCTAGCTATCCGAAAAATAAGCTAGGACGTAAAGCTTAAATTCATCTTTATGTCAATACACTTAGGGTACATGTTTAAATAAAAAACTAGAAGTTTATTATACACTGTTTGTTACAGTGAACTGGTTCCGTCAAAAGCCGCATCACTCTCAATCGTTGATTCGTAATGGAGGTGGTTCGGGCGAGTCTCTCCCGATCTCGGGCAGTATGATATCGTTAGCTCGGCCTCCGCATTTGCCGCCACCCCATACATCACGACCTGTCCATGTTAAGCGAAGAGTTGGATATACATTGAATAGGTAAAACATTCTGTGAATATTTTTTGGATTATCTTCTTTTTGTCCTTATTACAAGGGAATAAGGTGTGGATTAATTTAAAAAAAGATTTATTTATTCTGGCAACCGGCGTTCGCGCACGTTTGTCCTTCTATTGTATCTGTAATTACTACAATTGATATGTTAATTTGGAAATTTGGAGCCAAGTATGACTTTTCCAGCCTACCCTATCATCCTATTATCTGACAATATAGTATAAATACAGTGATATCCCATTTAAACAACTTGTGGTGTCTTTTAGGGCTCGAAAAAGGGTCGAAGATCGTCTAAACAGATTCGGTCTAAGGAAAATGGGGAAAAAGCGAGATGGCAGTATAGAAGATACTAGCGGTGGATGTGAGTATATTTTTCAATTATTTTCAATACAAATAATAGAGTACAAATATGATAAAATTGAAGTTAAGAACCTATAGTAATGACAACACGCTATGAAACTTAATTAACAAATTAGGACGTCAGTTTGATAATGAAAAAACATTAAACACGTACTTTTGTAAAGCAAAAAATTTCTCAAGTGTCTGACTCGTAACTCCGCCCTAAGTTTTTTTTAATGGAGATAACCGCAACACCAAAGAAGTAACAAGTGCGTTGCTGGCCTTTTTGGGATAAAGATTTCGGATATTTAAGGGAAGAGTTAATGGGAGGGGGCAAGAATTGGACCTCCAGTAACCTCATTCAAACGGCAGATGATTACATATCATAAAAAACCTTTTTGAAAAGGACCTACTATTATCGGTTATCGTTTATAATGCCAATAATGCTTTCCTAGATATGTCGCGGCGTGGCTCTGCTGAAGGAGGGTCAGGTGGTGGTGAATCTGAAGTAGTGATACTAAAGCGCCGTCGTCTAGTGGCGGCTGCGCCATTGTACGCAGGACTGGCGAGGTTTAGCTTTCTACTAGACGCTACCCAACCTGGAGGAACGCCAGACGCACTCTTCATGGCCGCTTTGTTAGATTTGGTAAGTAACTCAATAAGGGCTAATTTTTTAGGTAAAGGTTAGTTAAATGTTACCTGAGGCATAAAATTGTTTCTGTCACTGTCTTATACAAACATTCTGACGCGACAGCATCATAATTATTCCCCAGGTAACTTTTGTCTAACCATTGAAAAATCAGCTTTTTGCATTACGAAGTTGGTATAAAACATTTTTTACTTTTGAACAGCTATTTAGTATGCACAATCTAACTCCAGGCTGTTTTTCCAAAAACTTTTTTTTGGCTTTTCAGGTTTAATAACTATTAGTTATTAGGTTCTTTTACTTGAAGAGTGGTATCAGTTACCTCTTAATTATTACAAATTATAATGTATACATGATTTCTAATTTCGCAATATGTTTCAGCCTCACACAGTTGTGGTTGCAAGAGCAGCGATGTTACTAGAATGTGCACATCTAGTACATAACTGCAATAAGGGTCAATGGCCTTATTGGCTCAAATCAAACACTTCAAAAGCTGCTGGTAAGCTGTAACTAATTAATAAAACGATTTAATTAATAGAATTGTAATAAAAAAAGAACTTATCAAAAATTAATATTTATTTTCAGTGTCTTTGAACCCCCAACTGAAGAGACAACGTCTAGCTGGAAAATTATTTTACCAGTGGGCTGAAGTAAGTTTAATTATGTACAAATAAGTTGTCAGTAGTAAAATGTGGGAGAGTCATGCATCGGCATGAATGGGTCGGTTCGACCGGAGTCACAAAAAACTGGCGTGAAACAACCACAGCGTTGTATTTCGCCGTGTGAGTGAGGTTACCTGAGGCCTTATCCTTCCCCTCCCCCAATCCCTAATCCCCAAAAGGTTGGCAACGCCCTAGTAACTCCTCTGTTGTTGCGGGTGTACATGTATCGGGTAATACATCTGCTCGTTTGCCGACCTATCACATCTATAGATAAATATGTATATTATTTAAAATGGCCATAACCTAAGGTTAGACTAGAACACAGTCAATAGACCACCATAGATAGGGCTCGACAGCCAACGCATAGCCATGGTCATTGGTCACGGGCCAAGCACAATAATGTAACGTGGCCTCGACTTGGAGGGGAACGAGAGGGTTTTTGGTAAGTAAGAGTCTGACACCCGGATTCCGAAAGGGCGGTCAATGTTAAAATCAGTTTAATCTCTTGTCAAGTCATCTGATTGGGTGACTGAATTATCAACCACCAATCAGATGACTTGACAAGAGATTTAACAGGAGATTAGTTAATTTTGCGTTGACAAACCTTTCAGAAACCGGGTGTGAAACTTCCTCTCGCCATACCGAAAAACAAAAAAAAGACTAGAACAAAGTATCATCATGCGATATAAAACACGAACAGTTCTATCATAGAAGTTATCCATAATCCTTACTTGTGATATTTTCTTACGTCTCTAGGCATTAGGAAACAGACTGGAAGAAATGCTGATTGAAGACAAGAAGCATGTTGATACAGTTGTCAACTTAGTAAACGATCCTGATGGACAGCGCGAGCTTCTACAACAGGACGAAGAAGAAGACTTCCTTGATGAAGGTATTTCAAAAAATTCAACATACACTCAAATTTATCGTCTATGACAATGGAAATAGAATACATTTGTGTGAAAAAAGTATCAAAAACCACAAGCTGTGATGTCACATCAACAAATAATCAGCAGTTACATTGCTAATCCCAATTGTCCGAGACCCAACTTTTGCTCTCAGATCTTAAACAATAAAAGTCTGACTGATATAAGTACAAATATGAACGAAAATATAAACATACGAGTTTTAAACTTATACATTAATACTTCTTGCCTTTTCAATATGAATTCGTATAAATCTTCTTACAGCCAGTATTCGCCTTCCTGGAAAGCCAATTGGCGCCGACTGTCCTCGAGCCCTCAGAATAATTGCTTGCGTACTTCTATTTGAAATAACTGCATTCCTCCGCGAAACCTACCAGAACCTACCCAAGACATGCCGATCCTCGTTAAAGGAAAGAGGACCTTGGGACCGAGTTTACAGGTACTTAATTCCCTTGCACTTAAATTAGAAGATTAATTTTGGTAAGTAGCTTATTAATTCTTTGGTGTAAAACGTTTTATTTTTTGTCATTATGTTATGCGAAGATGGATGGAAAAACGACGTATTTTGTGTAAGACTAAGTGAGTTCATTATGTTCAGTTCATTTGAAATGTATTAAGAGGAGTGCATAATTATATTTGACAATACTTTTATTTTAACAGGGCTCTTAGCAGTCAACACACATTAATGCCAGTCGAGTATGTTTTCAAAAGAAATAATGCATGTTTCCTTGCATACGGCACTAAGCGTGCATGCGTATGTAGAATGTACATAATATTAAATAACGTACACTTTTAAAATGGAAGTATTATGTGCAAATTTCACTTGGACCGATGTGACTCGTATAGCGAATATCGTTCACTTATTGGCAAATTTTGGCACTCGAGATTCACAACTGTAGCTGCATCTAATAACTATGTTCAAAACATTCAATTTTTGTTCTCGTGAAACTTTAATAATTTCATTTTTATTTTGAAATGATGATTTGTTACATACAGCTACATTTATGACGATCTCCACGTTATTATTGATTTATAATAAAGAAATTGAAAACAACGGTATAATGTGCATACGCACAGTTAATCTGCATGGAATGTTGTAAGATAACACCTAAATTGCTATCGATTAAAATTATTATAAAATTTTACACGAATATTAAAAATTGTTTTGTGAGATTACACCCTTTCAGAATTTTATATCCAATAGTTTTTATAAATGATAAAATAGTTTAGATGAAATTAGAAAAGAGTAAAAATGCTTTTGCTACATTGGCATGCGACATCAGACAGTAAGAATTCAAAGGAAATTGTATAGAGAAGAACATAGAAGCTAATTAAATTAAATAGCTGGTAAATGCAACTTGATTACATCGTGTATTTGCAAGTTCATTGACGCGTTGAAATGTAAATAACTTGGATCACAGGGAAGCTAACCGTCGATGGAGTATGGCTCTATCGAGCATGGGCCACTCTCAGGCGTCTGCGCAAAGCTTACAATCAATTGCGGGAGCAGAGACAGAGAGGAAAATATCTTTTGTCCTGCACGAACCTGAGAACGTATCTGGTGGGAGTAATGTAACCGTAAGTACTTTGGAATATGTTTATTAATATCCGTACTGTATACACTTCATTAACAGTAATCTAGATCTTAATTTAGAGAAAATAAAGCTTATATTTGCTTTCAGTTAGCGGACGCGATACCTCCAGCAGTGGATGACAAGAAAGGCCGTCTTGGATCCCGTGGCAAGGCAGGCATGCATCGCCGCAATACACAACAAACGCACTCAGCGTATGGCTCGTTCAAACGGCGATCTATAAAACTTAGGCAGAAAGATACTAGAGATGTAGTTGACGAATGTAAGGTTACATTTACTAAATAAAATTTTTAAATACATACATGTACTAATCGTTGGCTCCATCCAAAGGTCTGTAAGAAATCGCATTTAGCGATAAGACCGCCCTTTTTACATAATATCTCAAGATTTTCTGTTTATATTTTATGGTGTACATTAAAGAATAAATAAATAAATAAATGTACACAATAGCGACACAAATCAATAATGTCTTAAACCTGTGCTATGAAATCAGCGTACTTAAATACATTAAATATTATACTCTAGTAAACTTTACAAAGAGTATCCCATCGCTATGACATGGTTCTTCAATCGCACCATAGTTTTTACAGTCAATTATTATGATATTTATTTTCATTCCAGTTGTAACAAGAAGATCTGATTCAATACAAAGTAGACGGAAAGTATCTTCGCTATCAGATAGAAGTGATACTTCAGAAGTATATCCAGGGGCAGGTAAGATCAATTTTCAGAACTTAGCTGTAACATACAATGCACTTATCAAACATATATGACGAACAAATTTTTACTTTGTCAGGTGGAACAGTCATAATGTCAAATGAAGTAGATAGTGGAGGTGAGGAAAGTCCAGGAGTACTCTCTGATGACCACGATCATCCACCGGACAGCCCTGACAGCAATTCTACTGACCCTCCTGATACTAACAAAGGCTTTCCGTGGCTCAAGGTCAGTTGAGCACCATTATCTTACTAATATTATAAATGCAGGTACGATGTTTGGATGTTTGTTACTCAATCACGCCAAAACGGCTGGACGGAACTGAATAAAATTTGGCACAGACAGGATACACTTCGGAATAGGACATAGGCTACTTTTTATCAACATACCAAGCGGCCGAAGCCGCGGGCGGAAGCTAGTGAGATATATTTTTTGTGTAAAATGACGATTGATCTCACTCTGAATATTTTCGACAGGTTATGGTGAAATTCCTAAACTCTTTCAACTACGTGTGCTGCCATCAGAACTTCTGCCATCCTTATTGCTTCAGACGAAACATGAGAGCCAGTGTTAGACTCATGAAATCTGTTCAGAAGGTAAAATACTACTATTTTTGTAACTTTATAAACATATTTTTATTAAAATGGAGAAAACAAATATTACGTTTTGTTTTTAGATATATGGCGAGAAGTTTGGTCCAGAAATTAATACGACGAGCTCAGATGAAGGAAACGGTGGGACGCGAAGAGGGCGGCGGTCACGCAAGTCCTCTGAGCATTCCACAGATAGGTATACTCAGTATGAGCCCAATTTTTTCTATTGTTTTATTCCTTATTTACCAATTAAACATTTTTGAATATTTCTTAAAAATAGTTTCCCACCGGGTCATCAGGAATAGGGTCCAAGCTACTGGGGCTTCAGAAAAAGCAATTTCCTAGTCTCCTCTTTCTGAATTAAGCCATTGATCCAGTCACCTAACGAGAGACTCCTAAGGTGTTAGTCGAAGCTCTTGGCTATTAAGCCAGCTGCTACGAAAATCGGCCAAAACACATTCTTGGAAACCCATAACACATTAATATATTATTTTTTGTTAATAATTAAATTCCCAGGATTGAACGGTCCGTAATAGAGAGTGCTGGCTTAGCGTATCGAGCCGCTGGTGGCGAACAGACTAATGTGCCAACTGAAGGAGTGCCCACAAAGCCAACTGCAATGCCATACCCACCAGCTGACCCTCCAGCAATACTCAAATACCTTAAAGGACAGGTGAGATTAGTTTATTCAAAACATTATAATAATATGGTAATTTAGATTTGTGTGAACAATTTGATTGCTTTGTTATTCAAACAGATCTAGACCTATCTCCGGTCGTCGACTTATCTGTATTACTGGCTACTCTCGCGCGGTTTCACCCGCTGTTCTGCTCCTACAGTTTGTAGCATGGCGTTTTATAGCCTTCCTCGGTAAATGGACTAAAAAACAGAAAAAGAATTGTTCAATTTGAAACAGTAGTTCCAAGGATTAGCGCGTTCAAACAACCAAACTTCGGCTTTATAATATTAGTATAGATTAAAACTCTTTCCTGCTGGCATCTTTCCAGTTCGGCGGATGTCAGTATGCATCGAGTTATATGTAAAAAATATATTCTAGGTCCGAGACGCCTATCACACGCCTCTAGCAACATTGATCAAAGGCGCAACCACAATGGGTGAGGAAATGTTTGCTGAATGTGCCCCCGTCGCCTGGCAGCTACTATTGGAATCAGATCGAGAACTTAGTTCGTGTGCCGCTGCTTTATTCATTCTCGCTGCTGTAAAAGCACCTAATACGGCCACTGAAATCATGCATAATGATTTGAAACATGCAGAGCCGAGTACAAGGTATGTGTGAATAGTTTTTATTTTATTATTAATATCAATAGTATTATAAGAAAGAATCTATGAAACGAAAAATTTAAAAAAAAATGTGATGCTGATTAAAGTAAGGGCAACAACGTAAAAAACTATAATTACTTTAGTTGTTTATTTATGTTATAATTTATACTTCTAAATTAAAAATTATATCATAAATTAAAATGTATCGAGGTATGTATCATTATAATTTACTTTCAGAATAAACGCAATCCTAAGGTTCCAAGTAATGTGGAAGTTAAGATACCAAGTTTGGCCGCGTATGGAAGAAGGGGCGTCAGTGACCTTCAAAGTTCCGCCTCCTGGCATAGAATTTACTCTACCATCTCCTAAGATCGGCATCGAGTCGTTAGCAGTAGTCGATCCACCGTGGACCCCACAAGTTAAGGATAAAGACATGGAGATGACTTTGAATCAAGAAAGACATGTAAGTTTTATGTTGAAGTATTTTCTTGACATTGCGCAAACTGTGACACTTTGCGCAAAGGTTGCGCTACTTGCAGTTAACGTTTTCAAGGCAAAATATCGGATTTCTAAAACACCATTTTTTTACAGCGTTCTCTGGTAACAGCAACAAAGACTCGCAAGAAACAGCAAACGGAGGCAATAAAGCGAGCTTTGCAACAAAGGAATGACAAGAAACGAGCGGAACGAGAGAGCTTCCTCATCACGACTATCCCGATTACGAGGCAGGCTGCTAGAGAGCCGGCGTTGGACCATGCTGCAGATGACCACGTTGACCGTAAGTGTTTTATGGAGTAAGAGACACTAATGTAGGTTAAGTGAAAGTGGAATATTTTATACTATAAACTTTCGCGTCGCATATTACTCTACTGTTTTACAGGATGTAACGCACAAGTACCTTTTTTATTTGTTCTTTGACTGCCGTTTCGGCAGGGTTACACCTGCCATAGTCACAAGCAGACTGTCCGACGATACTACTCCGTCAATAAAGTAGATTGATCCTCATCTACCCTCGATGTTGGTAAATGTCCGCTATAAAGTCGCGTACTTATATTAGTGCAGACTACTTGTGACCATGACAGGTGTAACTCTGCCGAAACGTCAAGCAAAAAACAAATATTAAAAAAGGTACGTGCGCGTTAAATGCCTTTAAAATAGTATACTATTAAGCGGAATATTTTTTGATGAACATTTTCTTTCTGATTAGATCTGTAAAATATATTTAATTTTTACACTGGCATCTGCAGAAACCTTAATTATTCTTACCTTACACCTTTTCCAGCACCAGCTGATGAGGAATTGGTGGAAGGTGTGCGAGGGTCCCATCATACACAAGTAGCTTCAGCATTATTTCCCTCGACTTTGTGCTCGGCTGTAGCTGAGATTGTATCTCTGTTAGACGATGCAGCTGTTTCAAGAGATGGCTGTTCGGTTTATGAAGTCGCATACCAGGTAAAAAACTATCATTTAGTTTTATAAGTATGGTTAGAAAGCCTTATTGTACCTAGTCAATTTATTCTTACTTTTTCTCTCTTGAATATGGTTCGTCCCAATATAGAAACAAGAGTTTACAAAGCAATTTAAAACGTCTTTTAATCCCGTCGTAGGTTGGGCAAGAGGAAATGTCCGACTCGACTGACTAAAATCTACTCCGTTCCTTCTCCTGCTCCGGGCCGGGATTGCGGGGGCTCTACTATCTTTTGTTACCTTTTCAATCACACGACTGCACATATTAGTTCTTCAGCTACATGTTTGTTACAGGTAATCTGGTGTTGTCTCGTCGAAGATTCAGCTCTGTTTCTCCGACACGTCCTTGAGCGTCTGACTCGAGATCATCAGGACGAAATGTTCAAGTTACTGCGACACTTAATACGTTTCATACCGCGGTTACCGCAACAAGCCGCGTTTGCTCTGTACAACTATATCATAGGATACGTCATGTTCTATGTGAGAAGTCCCCATGAAGAAGGGCAAAGGCTGGTTGGAGCTGCATTATCAATATTGTGGATGGTAAGATTTTCTAAATAGATTCATCATCATCATCAGCCTATAAGTACCCACTGCTGAGCAAAGGCCTCTTCTCATACGGAGAAGGTTAGAGCATTAATCACCACGCTTGCTCAATGCGGGCTGGCGATTTCAAACTTATAATTAGAAATTATAAGTCCAGGTTTCCTCACGATCTATACCTTCACCGTATGTCAGTCGTGTCTAAATAATCATAGAAAGTACATATAACTCGGAAAAAATCACATTGTTACTTGCCAGGTTTCGAACCCACACTCTCATGCTCTCATGAGAAGCATCCTTAACCTCCGGGCCACCACGACATTGCTCTAAATAGATTACGTAAATCAAAAATGTTTTCGTACATACATAAATTTATTTAGGTCTCATAAATAGTCCAGTCATTTTAGGTTTCATCTGGGGAAAAATTCCTAGTGAGCTGAATTTTTGTATACACCTTTATTACGGCGTTATTATCAAGTTGTGAAAAATCGACATCGATATCGTGTCGGCTAAAAAAATTACAGAGGTCAAAAGGTCACGAAAATCAGTTTTTTTTTCAAATATTTCGCGACCTATTGCTCGGACGTCAATAGAGGTCATTATAAAAATTGTTCCTCATAAAATCGTCTACAAAAAATGTCTCTTATAGTTTTTCTGTAAAATTAACGGTTTTCGGATCGGGGTATAAAATGCCTAAAATGACTGGACTAAAAGACGACATGTTGTTACCTATCGTAAAGGATTAAAAATTCATTTATATTCACATTCATTTGTTTTTGCAGAACAATGTAAATTTTTTTTACTTCTTTTTGCAGGTGGTGCACAGTGTTCACGGTATCATGTTCAAGGATTTGAAGCAAATATTGCGGAAAGAGCAGTGCGATGCGTCCATATTGCTTACCGCTAATGTACCTGCAGCAAAGAAGATTGTTGTTCATGGCCCACGTGAGTACTAAATCTTTCTTTATTTAAAAACAGTAATAATAAAATTTAACTGCACGGTTGGCTGGGCACCTAGCTGAGCGCAACGTGTCGCGTTTTCGATTCCCTCACATAACAACCCTTTGTGTAATCCACAAATTGTTGTTCCGGGTCTAGGTATGGTTTGGAAATTATATGTTTGTAAACGCACGCAAATTATATGTTTTTAAGCAACGTTTTTATTTAAGGAGAAAAAAACAAATCTGCCTATACATGGTTTAATTCAGGGTACTCAATTATATAAAAAACAGAATAGTTCAACTAAGTTACAAAATACATAGCGAGCTCAAAATTGGTATTATTTGTTTCAGCTGACAACGAAGGTTGCATACCATCTCAGTTTCCAGTTCAAGAAGATACAGTGTTTGCACAAATTCTAAAAGAGTCTCTAGATTTCTTTGGCATCCCAGAAAAGTTGCATAAGGAACATTTCCTTGTTGATTTCAAAACTCGTAAGTATTTATAGTAATACATATTTTTCATACTAGTTTTATCGATTTTATAGAGAAGACATTTATTCTAATTTGGATAAGAGACCCATAGTGATTTAAAACTAGTAAAGTTCTCGGTTTGAACGCGTGAGAAAGGTAATATTTTTAATACATTTGTAAATCTATTTCATTTTCTATATCCTTGGTCACCACAGCTCTTATTGTTTTGCAATTACGCAATTTATAAGTATATTTTTTACTTTTTCTTTTCGCAGGTCAAATCCACAATCCGCAAGGCTACGTGCGTGACCACTACTTCTTCAAACGCTCACAATACCCACAACTTTGCCTGGTACACATGGAGCCCGATGAAGCGTTCCAAAAACTGCAGGAGCAGGAACTTTTGCAGAAATTCGTTGAAATCGGAAAAGTTTTACTAACTTGGGCCATTTTGAAAAACGTCGATATGGTTTGTACCTTCGTAACATTTTTGACTATTATTATTCTAATGTAGCTCTAGACTATTTTTGTTACCTTTTACAATAGCAATTGTAGTATTTTTAAAGTCAAAAAGTAATTGATAACATTATTGGCACCATGCCCATTACGTAAGCCATTTGCCCACTATTTTATAGAAAAAATATTTTACCTATATTTTAGCATTTTGTTTCATATATTATGTAAATAATTAGGGCCTACAACTAACTTACTTACAACCTCTTTTTCAGGTGGTACAACGTGTGGTATTTCTTCATGACGAACTTATGAAGCTGCCGTCGTTTCCCCGCAAGGCTTTGGAAGCTGACCTTGTTCTTTACAGCAGAGGAGCTCTAGGTTCCACGCTGTTAGGCCTCGATGTCTTACATAAGTTCATGTGAGTCTCTCGATAATTACTATTGCCCTATGCTTAATAAATATCGATATATCAGAGATATGAAAAAATTGCCATTAACGTTCAATATTTTGGGTACTGGATACATAACCAATTATTCATTACACCATTTTGCTGGATAACATTAATTATACCTTACTTTTGAAACTAAAACAATCGTTTAAAATCTTTTACTAGGCTGACTTTGACATGCATATCGATATTTTTACTACAAGTAGGATCTTTTCATGTAGAAATCACCTATTTTCCTCTTCTATTTACAGGTGGGTTCGCCTCATAGCTCGTATGTTTGAGGCGATGGCCGGTAATTTCACATCATCTCGCGACATTCACTTGTTCCTAAACGTTCTCAACGGAGCCCTCATGCTGCACAGTGAGGATTCCTTAATACTACGATATGTGATCGCCACCTATGTGAACGCTGCGTTCAATTTCAAGAGCATTTTCTCTACAAATGGGTGAGCTTAAAAATGGTTCTTATGCCTTCAAAATAAGGATAAGATTTGCAATTCGCAATCTTGACAAATGGTCTCCAAATCTACATATCGAAAATAAATCACGAAACTATTAATAGGTTTCACACACAATAATGTGCACGAATGAATTGGCGTTCGCCTAACTAACACAAAAACTCCATTTCACCACATGTGAAGTAGGTGTATAACTTCTGAATGACTACATCAAATTAGAAAGGACTCTTTTGTGGGATTGGGTCGATTATTTTATTGTTATGAAAAATATTGGTAAATTCAGACTGCAAATGTCAGAGAATATAATACTTCAGTAATAATTTTTAAGTCAAATAATGTTATCTTTTCAGATACTTACTAATCATGCCAACTCTGCTTCAAATATATTCAAATTTTCAAACAAATAAACTGGTAACCACAACTATAGAGTACGCCGTCAAACAGTTTTATTTGTTGAACCGTAAACCATTCATATTACAAATGTTTGGTTCCGTGTCAGCCATTTTGGATACAGATGAGGAATCTACTTATGGAGATGCTAGCAAGGTAAGGATCAAATTTTGAACTATTTTTGTACTTGTAATTGTGATAAATATCGTTAGACAAACAAAATTAAAAAAATGTGTGTACGACTTACATACTCGTTTATATAGCTCGAAACAAGTAGGACATCTCCAAAAGAGTCTTCAAAAAATACTTTTATTGAAAATTTAACTTTTAGAAGATATAATAATTTCTAATTGATGTTGTAGTAAAATTTTAAAATGTTTCAAAAACAAACTGCAGTCAGTATTAGTCTTTATTACCAATCTATTAAGGTACAATCCAGCTGCCTGTTCAACTTACTCCTAAGCCTGGAGACACCTTCGCCTGACCCGCTTCATATCGCAGAACTTATCAAAGAAGAGAAGCCACTAAAGCCGATAGATTTCTGCTATCGTGATGAAGAGGAAATGGTGAATGTTCTGGACTGCATCAGTCTTTGTGTCATGGTTGTATCCTACTCCGCTGAGAGTATGAGAGGGTATCAGATGCTGGTGAGTACTATTTGTGCATGAACTAGAGTTTTAAGGCAGATCTTGTTAATTTTTTTAAAGAGGTTTAGAAATTGGTAAAGTTAAAATAACTGAGTCTATTGGTAAATTAAAATCTTAATCAGGATATTGTAGGTAGTCCAAAAAAGCGTCAAGTATAGTTAGTACACTACCAACATGAATATAACTAACACTTTTATTTAAGTCAAACGCTAGTCACTACAAAATAATAAAAATAATTATCGTTTTCCAGATCATATTAGAAGCTATACTACCATGTTATGTGAAACAAATACAACTACCAACATACAACCGGGAGGGGAAGACGGAGAAAGAGATCATTCAACAACTGGCCATTGCTATCAAGACGCTTGTCAACAACTGCGAGGGACTTTCTAAGTAAGAGTTAGAGTTATTAATATAATTGGGTCAAAATCATCATCAAAGTTAAATTAATTCGACGTTTCAATACAATAAAATATTGAAAATAACATTGATACACTGAATTTTAGATATTTTTTAGCCATTTTTTAAGAACTAAGTAAAATATTTGACGCAAAAAAACTATGACGTCATAACTCAGTTTTTCATACAAATATAAAGTATCGTTTTTGACATTTGGTTAAAAGTTTTGAATTTGACTAGTGGGAAACTACCGTATTAGTAGTCCTAAGGCGGTAAATTCGATTCAGCTCCTCAAAGCTATTCTAAGCGTTCGGTACTTCAAATTTTTTTGCTAGTTTGAGCAGTCCACGATGTCATGTTGATTAAGATTATAGGAACCCGTTCTTTAGAAGCTGGTAAAGCTCTTTATAGATTGAAAATACTACATTGGATTGTATAGTGGAACGTACAACGTAAACTTCATTAAAACAAATTAAAGGGTTTCTACCCAGATGTTTCTCTCACTTGCAAAATACAATATCTGGTATTTCACCCTACTCCAACCTGAAGAATTCAGTGCAACCCGGCTTTATATCAATACTTATAAGTTGAAAATATAATAAAAATACGTACAGAACAGTTGATACTTAATGTTTTAGTATAATCATTATGAGTTCAAATAACAAAATTTCCATTCTTAAAAATACTAGATAGGTAAAAAAAAGTTTTTACAATAACTATAATCCTCTCATAGATCGTACAACGGCCCTTATAGAACGTCTCCGGAACATAAAGGTTCGTCACAGAGGACGGGGCCTCGGACTGCTGCGGCTACTATCATCGCCTTCGAAGAGTCGCACTCTAAGTACGATAACTCTAAAATGCCTGTTCCTGAGTATACTGGGGCTGAAGACTCGGAGGTGAGTAGTTAATTTCTTTGTTTATTTAAAACGAGTCTCCATTAAAAACCCTTAAGCTATTACAATTAGCATAGCATCAATAAAAAAAAATGTTTTTGTGTTTCCTTAATAAACGCATCACAATAAAAATCAGACCTATCTAATAAAAGGTGGTATTTCAAAATTAAACATTATTATTGAAAAAAATAAATTTAAATAATTCAAATACCTTCTTTTTAAAGATTTTTTTTAGATACTTCATTGTGCAAATTGTAGTTAAAGTGGGTATATTCAGCATCTGCCAAATATCTTGGTTAATAGCTTCGATAGCAAAATAGAAAAAAACTTTTGTTTATAACTCTGGAGGAGTTTAAAATCTCCACGTGCTGGAGGGATTTAAAATCTCCGCGGTTTGCGGTCACACATTTTAAATTAAAGGTCGCACAAAATCCATTTCCTTTGCTGAAAAGATAAATGATTAAGATTGGCTAAGAATCATGTTGATTTTTTATTAAATGCATATTTCTCTAAGTCTCATATTGTTTTAATTTTCTCAACAGCTGGTTCGAGCCGAGTATCGCAGACCACGCGATGTTTTACTCTCACTAGTTGGTGAATTCATCGGCCGTGCCACTAGCCGTTTGTTAGAAATCAATGGATCTAACCGAAGCGGTGGCACTGACGGCAAACCAGTTGAACTGTTGGATTCCAAGTCACATGCTGTAAGTAGACAACTTTTTTTATTCAAAGAAATCAAACTCGTGTAAACTGCGACTTGATCCGATGGCTGACAGGTAATATACTCTATCTAATCTTGAAATATAAAGTTTTCGTACGTTTAACTAAGTAAGAAACCGCATAGACAAAGGCTGCTCATTGCAATCACCAAGTGTGGGCTAACGTCTATGTGCTCACCAAGTGGCGCTAATGTAACGCGAGGTTTAGTGTTAAGTTTTTTTTATCGTTTTCATTGCGTTAGCGTTAAGTAGGATTTATATGACGCGGTACTGAACGCAATCATAGGACAACTTGAGTTAGCTGTCGCCGTACCCGGGCCCTGAAAACTCGTACTAGGCACTCGGTTCGTCTAATCACTGTAAATTTCAAAAACATTTTCACAACATGAAATTCCTTACTGGCCATAATATTTTGTCCCATTATAATAAACCTTTCTGAAACTTTTTATTACACTTTCCATTCTAAAACCTACCTTTAACACTCCTAACTTCGACTTTTGTTCCAGCGTCTAGCAGAAATAGCGCACTCCTTACTAAAAGTATCTCCATACGATCCTGAATCTATGGGATGTAGAGGATTACAGCGATACATGACACAAGTACTACCCGCTGCCGACTGGGCTGACGACGCGTTACGGCCAGCTCTTATCATGATATTAAGACGTCTTGATAAAGTATTCCTCAAAATCGCCAAGAAACCTAGCATCAGGGTAAGATTTACATTACATTTCGGTCTTACTTTGTAGATTTCTATCGGAAATAATGACCGTACAGATCACACGATGGTAAACAGTCCGCCCCGCCTGTAACACACGACGAGATGCAAATGCCCTGTCGGAATTTTGGGAAGAGAGGATTCGGCCTCCGGTTACCTCTCTTACGCGTCTAAACACAACGTTGGCGTTTTTTATTTATTTTATAGTAATTACTCTTTACTTCCATACCAAAACATTTGCTGCTCGAAATGGGTATTCACAGATGAAGCATTTTTCAAATGTGACTAGATATAGTACAGACAATAAAATTGTGCACTTTGATAACAATGACTCTCATAATTCGGGCAACATTCCACTCAAGTCTAACCCTCTCATAACTTAATATTTTGCTAATATTTCAGAGAAATACAGACTGGGACTCGGCGGCGGTTCTATTGAAAGGAGTATACGAAACTATGATACGGTGTCCGTACATAATGCACTGGCAACACGTGAAAACTCTTCTTAATACTGTACAAGTAAGTCAACATTTTAATGTACATTAAAGTTAATGAAAAAAATCCTCTGTCAAGGTCAATCAGTAATTTAATAGTAAAATGCAAATCTGCAGTTTACTGTAAATATACTTATTTTATAGTATAGGTCAGCAAACGAGCAGGCGGATTACCTGATGGTAAGCAATCAGCGCCACCCAGGGACACGCGCAACACCAAACGAGTTACGAGTGCGTTGCCGGCCTTTTAAAAGGGTTTCGGATATTTAAGGATTGGGAAAGGATAGGATAGGGGGAGGTATTGGGCCTGTGGTAACCTCACGGCGTAACACAACAATGTGGTTGTTTCACGCCGGTTTTCTGTGAGGCCGTGGTATCACTTCAGTCGAGTGGACCCATTTGTACCGAAGCTTGGCTCTCCCACACTTACTGTAAATTACCTATTTGAGTAGCTAAAATGTTAGTACCTAGCTTATTTAGAAGGTATTTTAAGGTCTCTTAAGTGCAACCATAAAATCACCGACCAAAACAGACTATTTATTCTATATGTTTAACTATTTAACACAGCATCTGTATTTACCTTATTTTATAAGTGAACCCTTAATATGTACCTACGTTTTATTTATTTTCACAGGCCCTAATAGTGTCAGACAACAACAGTGGCGAAAACTTATCGTCGGCGACTGCGGCATTAATGTCACAGCCGCCTCCTCCACATTTCTGCAGTACTGTCGTACGACTAATCGCATTGCAGATCATTAATACAGGGGTAACGTCCTTTTTTTTTAATTGATATCCATTTTTTGGATCCGAAATGCGCTAAGTTAATAAGTATTCTTTATTTTCGATGACGTAATGCCGTGTTTCTGCATGCAAACTATAAAGCTTATACTTTTGTCAATTTTTCAAAGGGAAGCTTTTAATCTACAACCATAAAAAATATGAAACTAAATGAGATTATCTTATATATATATATATATATAAAAGAAAGTGGTGTTAGTTTCTCCACATATAACTCAAGAACGGCAGAACCGATTTAGCTGAAAATTCGTAGGGAGGTAGCTAAGAACTGGAAGAAGGACATAGGATAGGATAGTTAAGTATATTGTAACTAACAGACCCAGCCACGCATTGCTGTGGCTAAGGTAAATACTATTGTGCCTATAAATTGAGATGTAAGTTATCCTATCTTTCAAGTTGGATCAAAATGCACACGAAATGCAAATCAACTCTAAAATCGGTTTAGTAATTTAGGAGTCCATCGCGGACAAACATGGGACATGAAATTTTTTAAGTGTAGGTATATAAAGACTACCGTCCTCAAATTTCCCGTAATTGGGCGTAATTTCATTGTAGAAAAGTGATAAAAGGATTCGTTGTGGGCAAAGAAAAAAATGTATAGAATAGTCTATCGGAACATCCACCTTAATACAAAATCGTATTAATTTATTTAATTTTATTTACGAAATATTCTTATTGTTTTCAGGATAGTTATTCATTGGAACAAATGTGTGGAGGAAGCGCATCGTTCCCAACAGGAGAGAAAACGGAAAACATGTTGATGAATCTCTTCATGCCACTGTGTCTACGAGTCGGAAGTGGTAGAAAAGGTAGGATATTCATAAATTATATATTCATATATTTATTTTTATATATTTTATATCCATAAATATAATGAAAACTAATTAGAGAAAAAACTACTTAGCTGTAATTTTTCTTTAGGGTAGTCACAGACGCCAGCTTATAAAGCTACTCCAAACTTCCTTAAACTTTTTATTTGATTTTAACCTTAAAACTTTTCAATAAACTAACATATTACTCAATAATATATGTTTTAATTAGATTTTGTATGAATTGCACACGTCTATTTATTTCCTTATTATAAAAATTAGATTATGTATTACACACATATACAATTACTTACATTACAATTTAAATTATTATTATTAATCAACAACTATTTCTTTGCAGACGTACCACCTCTCCGCCAATCCGACGTAAGCTACCTAGTATCGGTGGTTCTAAACGCGCTCTGCCCCCCGGCGCCGCCCGGACAGCTGGCGGCAGTGAACGCCAAGCTCAACGCTTCGGACAACCGCGCTAACTCACTCACCTTCACTGGTAGTAGAGATGCAAGGAATACTACAAGATTGTCTAATCAACTGTATAGAATTGCTTTCTTAGGTATGTTACAACTTGGTTTATTTACAGTTAATACTTTTTCTTATTAATAATACTGTTTATTAAGTTTGCCAGTCACCCCCTATCTGTTTATCCGTACCTATGTATCAATATTGGTCAGGGTCAGGGGCCAAAGCTTTTCCCTAGTTATCATGTCTACTACTCCAAAACAACCCATACCCATAACCATATAATTTTCTACCATCTCAATAGTCATAAATAATTTGCCGGCTTATGCCCATTTTAATAATAATTAAAGTGGTTGAAAGGGCCTCTGCGAATTGGCTTCGGTCCCTCGTACGCCTCCCACAGGACCTGTGGTCCGGTGAATGGAAACGAATACTGTTACTAATTTTGTTCTTTCAGTGTGATTTAGCGTAGATTTAAATAGTTCTAGATTTATGGTTTTTAAAACAGATTTTCCTGAAATCTGTATGGCTTGGGAAGCCAACCATATCACTTCTTACTTTTTGTAAAATGACACCCAACTTACAGGAGATTTAAAAACAAATATTATAAAAAAAATATATGATATGTCTCCTATTTCAGCGCTAAAGGTAATGTGTGCATGCTTCACAAGTGAACTATGCACGGAGTGGGGCCGTATAGCGCGCGCCATGCGGGACCTGGGCAGGCGGAACGAGGCCGCTCACCATCTCTGGGACTTCCTCGAACATGTCGTCACGTACCGCACGCCGCTCTATATTCTGTTGCAACCCTTCATTGTGCATAAGGTAAGTGTTAATATATATCGACTTAAAATGGGAAACACATATTACCAGTATCGTTAAAAAGGCAAATTCAATGTTGTACCTCATCAGAAAATCATTTATGTGTCTCACACCAAAAACCTTTTTGAAACTTTATAAAACCTACATAAGGCCGTTGGTAGAGTACGCCTATGTGATATGGGATCCCTACTTTAAGAAAGACATTACACTCTTAGAAAGTGTTCAGAGAAAAGCTACCAAGATGGTCAGATTGCTTAAAAACAAACCCTATGACCAACGTCTGCACGAAGTTGGCCTCACCACTCTTGAAAAGCGGAGACAGAGAGGAAACCTTATTGAGACTTACAAAATAATGAGTGACTTCTACAACGTTCCTGGACTTAAGAATATGTATCTTCTATTAAACGTGGTCTACTTATTTTCTTACCAATCTGGAAGCTCCGGAGACCAAATCGTGATCGATGTATTTCCCACTTTAGATTTCGGCTAGATAGTAGGGGTTTTCTCCAGTATGACAACACTGACACTTTATAGCGATAATTTAGGTTTATTTGGTTACAAAATATTTAGATTATTTGTTTATTTATTTAGTTTTATATATTGCACACATTCGACATGATCTTCTTTTTATTCACGAGTAACATTAAATTTTTCTAACAGTTAGTTGCCTAGCAATGTACCAAAGAGCTTTTCACTAGTGCTATGCAACCTCAACACTTTCCCTCACTAGTTGGAAAGATCTTGCAGACCCAAATCCTCTCTCAGTTTAACGAGTCTGGGTCTTGGTACTGCCTTCGTCAAAAGGTCAGCCAATTGCTCTGTGGAGCTAGTTTTCTGCACATTCAATAGACCTTCTTGCACAATTTCACGTACAAAGAAGTGACGTATTCGGATGTGTTTCGTCCGTTTATGAAATTCGGGATTGTGGGCAAGGCGAATGGCTGCTTCATTATCCACGCTTAAAGTTGATATGTCCGCCAAACTTGTAAGTTGAGCATAGATCCTCTGAAGCCACACAAGTTCTCGTGCACCTTCGCTCGCTGCCACAATTTCCGCTTCGGTTGTTGAAATCGCGACCGATGCTTGACGTTGGCTTAGCCACGAAACAACTCCATCAGCATACATACAAATAACGCCTGTGGTTGAGCGTCCACTAAGCTCATCACCACCGTGATCTGCATCACTATATCCTCGAATTACAGCTTTGCAAGGACCCGAACTGTATTTGATGCCATGGGACATTGTTCCTTTAAGGTATCTGAAGATCCTCTTGACTCTCAGCCAATCAGCTTCTGTCGGATTCTCCAACTTCCGTGATACTACCCCAACAGCATACGCGATATCGGGGCGCGTTCCTGTCATCAGGTATGCTAAGGCTCCTACTGCCTCTCGATAAGGAAACTTTTTCTCAGGTGCTTTCCCTGTTTCTGAAGTCACTGTTTCGATTGGTGTAGAGACGGGATTGCAGTCAATCATATTGAAGCGTTCGAGGATCTTCCGCGTATAAGCTTGTTGGCTTATAAATATAGATCCATCCTTGGAACGTTCTATTTCAAGGCCAAGGTAATACGAAGCCGGCTTGCTTGTGATTTTGACAGCTTGTCCCAGCTCCTTCAAAAATTTAGTTGCCAAAGCCTCGCTTGTAGTGGCCATGAGTCCGTCATCCACGTACAACGCCAACAAAATCTTATTGCCCCCTTCTGTCTTTGTAAAGAGACAACAATCAGCTTCATTCTGTGTGAATCCTTTTTGCAACAGAATGTCTTCAATGCACATGTTCCAGCAACGAGGAGCTTGCTTTAGGCCATATAGACTCCTCTGTAGCCTGCATACTTTCGAAGAGCCATCAGAAAAGCCAGGAGGTTGTGACATGTATATTTCCTGCTCTAATTTCCCATTTAAAAAGGCTGTCGCGACGTCAAATTGTGTTAAATGAAGTTTCTCTTGTGCAGCAACGCTTAAAAGAGCTCTAATGGTAGACATCCTGGCTACCGGACTATATGTCTCCTCATAATCTAGCCCTTTCCGTTGTCTGAACCCTTTAACGACCAATCGCGCCTTATATTTGTCTATGCTTCCATCTGGGTGTCGTTTAATCCGAAAAACCCATTTACATGGTAGTGCCTTTCTATTAGACGGGAGCTCGCACAGTGTCCATACATTATTCTCCTTGAGTGACTGAAGCTCGCTGGCCATGGCTTTCCGCCATTCCGCACCGTCAGTTCTACTTATTGCTTCATGGTAGCTCTCTGGAAAGTTTTCTGTGCCTACAAAGCAGACGTAGTCATCGAACTTCTTAGGGGGAGCAAGAGTTGACCTGTCTCTAAGGTTATATCTAGGTTCCTCTTCTCTCTGGGGCTCATCTCTCAGGGGCTCGACTACAATTTCCTCTTCTTCCCCTTCTAGTCGAGGCACCTCTACTCTCAGAGGCTCAACTATGTCAAGAGGTTGCTGTTCCCCTTCAGCCGGAAAATTCTCTTCCCCTTCAGCATCGACAAACTCTCCATCATCATCTTGCTCAGTAGTATCAGTAGCATCCTCAGACCCTAACCGTAATGTGAATTCAACATTACTTTGAAAAGTTATGTCTCTGGATTTGAATGTTTGATGTCCGTCCCACACACGATATCCATCGTCGTTTTCATAGCCAATAAGAATGCCTTTCATGGCTTTCCTAGACATTTTGTTACGCTTCTGCTTTGGGATATGTGCATAACATTCACTACCAATAACCTTGAGGTGTGATATTCGAGGTTTTTTGCCGTGCCATAGTTCGTATGGAACTTTGTCTGTCACTCGACTTGGGCCTGTTCTATTCAGAACATACGCTGCGGTATTAATCAATTCCGCCCACAAAATTTGCGGTAACTCATTCCTTGCATGCATCATACTTCTCGCGGCCTCTACCAGGGTTCGGTTCTCACGCTCACTACACCCGTTCTGTTCCGGTGTGTAAGGCATTGTCAGTCTGTGCTGTATACCAAAATCCTGTAGTATTTTCTTGACGTCCTTATTATCAAACTCGCCACCGTTGTCACTAAGCAAGGTTTTCACATTATGCCCAGCATTCTTTGCCTCTTTCAGCATCTGCAGCAACTTGTCCTTGACTTCTGACTTCTGACGTATGAAGTAAACCATACGGTAGCCTGAGTAGTCGTCCTTGAACAATACGTAGTACCGGAGTTTAGTTATGCTTGGTGCAAAAGGACCGCATACATCTGTATGGATTAGCTCTCCACATACAGTAGCTCTTTCCCTGGTTCCAAAGGTCTGTCTTTGGGACTTCCCATATATGCAGCCTTCGCATTTAATATTATCAGGCTTGAGGTTCACGCCTAATTCACGTTTTACGACGCGTATTACATGCCGCTTGTCCTGATGTGCAAAACGCTCATGATAGAGCTGCAGCATATTGGAACCGGTGACAGCATTTACCTGTATAGCTCTCGGTGTTGTTGGAATTACCGTTTTAAAGTCCAACTTGTAAAGGCCTCCCTTTGGGATCCTCCTGCCAACGACTTTAGTCATGCCTTCAATTTCCAACTTGCATTTTTTTGTCGTTGATGTAAAAATACTGTTCTGCGCTCTGTCTTGTGCCGCCAACGGTGAAAAGAGATTTTTTGTGAGTGATGGTACTAGCCAGACTTCTTCAAGAGTAATATGGACTTTAGTTTCGTTGACCTTGGATTCAACTTTAATAGAACATTCCAACTGCAGGAATCACAGTCCCATCCGCTGTAGTTACTGTGTGATTTGAATCGAATTCACGAAAATCCGTAAACATCTTTCTTGAAACGGCTACGTGCGTGGTTGCTCCGTTATCAACATACCAAGATTCTTTATCTTGTATTTGATTAACTGTGCACGCGTTCACCATCAGCGATAAGTTCTGCACTTGGTTAGATTTAATGTCTGAATGTGACGTGCTTGGCTTTGGTGGTCTTCCATCCTTTATCCATTTCTTGCACTGTCTAACTCTATGTCCTTTACCGGAACAGTAGTTACATTTCAGATCATTTCTCTCCTTCTTGTGCTTACTCTTTTGCTCTGCAGGTGTAGTCACCAGTGCTTCCTTTTGGATGGTGCTCTCTGGACCACCTAAATCTCTTTCAAATGCGCAGAGATGACTCGTAAGACTGTCGATCGTTTTCTCAGACTGCTTCAGCATTAACCAGCTCGACTTAAAATTAAAATACCTGTCATCCAGAGTATGTAAAACCTTGCAGATAAGGAATAGATCAGGCAGCTTAGCTGTTGCGTCTACTTTTTGGATCTCCACTACTAGGTCGTTCCATAAATTCTTTAGCTTTGACAGAAGTGTAGGAATATCATCCTCTTGATCCCGTTTTAGCCCAAAGAATTCAAGACACAAGTTGTAAGCCCTGTCCTCTGTCTGCCTATCAAAAAGTCGATGCAGTTCTGCCCAAACTTCGTGTGCCGTTTTGTAACGCATAACCTTCTTTAACGTTTCTTCAGTCATATTGGTTGTCAGCATCAGGAGTGCACCGCTTTGAGTCCTCTTATATTTAGCCATTGCAGCATTATAAGTGCTTTGAGCAGCATCTCCTGCACCAGGTGGTAAAACTGGCATTGGAAGTCTATTTTCTACTGCTTCTAAAGCACCTTCCGTACCCTCAAGCATGACTGAAATTTTGTACTTCCATGTTTGCCAATTGTTTTTGCCCTCTAGTTTTCCGATCTCTAATTTCGTTGAGAAATCCATGGCACTTTTCAGTCGTCCAGTGGTGGTGGGTCCTACCTATTAAACGTGGTCTACTTATTTTCTTACCAATCTGGAAGCTCCGGAGACCAAATCGTGATCGATGTATTTCCCACTTTAGATTTCGGCTAGATAGTAGGGGTTTTCTCCAGTATGACAACACTGACACTTTATAGCGATAATTTAGGTTTATTTGGTTACAAAATATTTAGATTATTTGTTTATTTATTTAGTTTTATATATTGCACACATTCGACATGATCTTCTTTTTATTCACGAGTAACATTAAATTTTTCTAACAGTTAGTTGCCTAGCAATGTACCAAAGAGCTTTTCACTAGTGCTATGCAACCTCAACATCTTCTTAATAAAAATCGAAATTTGAAAGGACACTCATTAAAACTATGCAGAAATTCCTCAAAACTGAATCCCTTGACACACTTCCTACCTAATAGGGTGGTCACGGAATGGAATAATCTCCCAGAAAATGTGATAAAAGCACCCACAGTTAATTCTTTTAAAAATAGACTCGACAAAATCTCCAAATCCATTAATACGCACGCATCAGCTTTCTAAGCTGCTAGTGTGTTCAAGTATATAATAATAATAATATGTAGAACTAGCTTCTGTCAGCCTCTTTGCCCTCAGTACCAAGGTAAAAATTCGCTTACGTGTCACTATATCTATGTTTGAAAATAAATAAAATATCTGTGCCAAATTTCATTGAGAATCTTTTAGTAGTTTCTTGTTTAAAAAAGTAAAACATCAACCACCATCCATTGAGCCATAAATTTATCCATACTAACAAGCTTTCGCTTGGCTTAGCTTTTTTTGAATACCCTACCGATTACCCTACGTAAACGTAAGCCGGCAATCAGGAAACTGAACACTTGATGATATACAACCGGAGCCAGCTCTTTTCTTAAAGGATTGAGAATCACTGTTTCCCCGAATGTCACAAGAGCTGACTAATTGACAACACGTTAAAATACATGATAAAGCTAAAATCTTATACAAATAACTCAAATCACATGACAAACTTGAAGCTTACTTTAAAGCCCGATTTTATATTTTAACCAACAGTTTGGTATTTCTTACAAATTAACGAGAACAATGTATTTTTAACCGATTCATTATCCATTGTGTTTGTAGCTATCGCAGCCACCAATTGGTGACAACGAGCGCCACATGCAGTTCGTAGTACGCGAGCGGGTACGAGGGCTCAAGCTACCCGCCGCTCGCGCAAGGGGGGCCTTACTAGCTGAGCTAGCAAGGGAACTTAGGCATATGCGGGATACACATGATCAATATAAGTTTGGTGAGTATATCATTGTAATTTTGTAGAACTTGCAAAAAACTAATTAGTAGTAAGTATTATGATAAAGGGCGAAAATAATCTCAAACGATAAATGATAAATTGCCTTGCCCAGTCTTACTAATAAGACAGATTTTACTCGATGATTCCTACATTATTGCTTGTCAAATTAGGATCAATTTCGAACTTTCAAGTGTTACACATCTTAATTAAATAATAACTAAACAAAATTACACCCTTAGAACAAATAGCCGAAAACCTCGGCCAGGCGGCTGGTAAGCGAGCATCGGAAGTATTCCCTCGTACCACAACAGTACCGGACAAGCACCAACAACATAGGCCTTCACTGATATCCATGTTGGTTGGACGAGGCGGTACTGGAGGGCTACCACGCACGCCCGACCATCCTTCTGCACCGTTGTCTGCGCAAAGAGGTAAAAAGTAGACCATACTTCGTAGATAAATACGTAGTTCATTTTCAACGGTTGTTTAAAACCTGAATATAGGACAAGGATTAAAAAAAATGTTGGTCATATTTTGTGCTGTGGAATTGTGTTGTTGTTTTCCGCTCGGATGATTTATTGTTGTTACCCATTAAAATCTTTTCCGCAAAAAAAGCACAGGTACGGGTGAAATTCCTAATGCCGCCGAGCGTTATGTAAGTAGGTACCTACGCCAATACGTAGCTTACGAAAGAAATTCTTTATTACAGAGTCACTATCAAGCAGTTCGACTACAAGTCAACACATGCCTACATTTGAAGCACAGCTGAATAGTGGCCGAATGAGTGACAACAGCAATAATAATGCTGGCAGTGTCAACTCTCATATGGGTAAGAAATATTCCTATAAATATTGTACTGAGATGTAGATATACCAAATAGGTACCTAGGTATTGTTGGTATACAAGAAGGTATGGTTGAAATAATATTATATAGATTGCCTGGTTCAACGAAAGAGCATTATTTATATTATATTATATATATATATATATATTATATTAGATTTTTATCTCTTATAAAAATCTTTGGTAACACACCGGCCGATATCTATTGAGCTAGCACGGTGGATGCAAAGCCCTTAAGATTAAGATTACTGGCGCATTATCTACTTATGCCCAGCAGCGGGCAGAAACAAGTTGATAAAAACGACTCCAGTTTATTGTTACTCCAGAGGCTTTTTCTCGTAGTAAAGTTACTAATTCACCTTAACAATTTTATTGACTGGAATGTTCTTTCTCACAGGTTCATTGAATAATTACGGAAGTGATAAGCCTACCGCCAGTACGCCGTCCTACACCAGCACACAGACCAAACTACGGTTTGTTCCTTCGGTTGAACTGAAGTTCACATCCGGTAAGTATTGAAGTGGTTATAATTTTAGGGAAAATAGTGTTAGGGAAAATATTATGTAGCATTCAAAGGAATTCATAATACAACATTAACACAATTTACAAGACATTGTAAAAACATCGAAAAGTTATTCACCCATCAACATTAATGAAAATCAAAGTACCTACTTACCAGTTTTTAACACCGTATTGTTTACCTTGGCTCTTAAATTTTAACGGAATTTTGGACACTTTGCTTTAATAATTGACCGAATCTTTTTGCTAATACCACAGGTGAAACATCAATGAGTCCACTATCCCCTATGTCCCCGGGAGAAGCGTCTTGCGGTGAGACTGTCCCTGCAAGGACCTCCTTGGATAGTGACATGCTAGTGGGAGATCACTCCGACACTCCCGACGCAGGGGAACGTCCACGGTTACAACGAGCACATGGGCCTTCTAAGAAGACATTCAAGTTCCGGCGCAGTAGGCACACAAAGCCTGATGTAAGATCTTACTTTTTTTCACTTTTATTTTAATGTAGGTACATAATGTTGTATTCAAAACGCATGATGATAGGTGGATAGATATGGAATGGATTTATTTGTTAAGTTAATATAGGTATCTACCTACCTAGGTACCTTAAATTTCAATATTTAATGTGCTCAATACCTATAGGAAAATTTCTCTACTTACTAATCGTTAAGAGAAGTAAAAAGTGACTTTACAATTCTTTGTTGTACAGGTGAGCCACGTTCGTCTGGAATCTGACGACGGCTCCTCCCCTGGACCAGAGACTACGCCCCTACGCCGCGCCTGGTCACAACCACCATTCCTACAGCCAACCTATATCAACACCGACACTTCTTACGACAGTGAAATCTCGCAGACATCGTCCACGTCTGGATACAGGCTAGCATTACCCAACCTTCAGTAAATAGACGACCAATACTAGGTGTGGTCAGCATGCAGTCTCGATGTGCAAACACCTTACGAAACGGGTTTTATGTCGGCATGGTTGTCTCAGTCATCTGTTGTGTGTGCACGGAAATCGAAATGTATCTATTTATATACGAAAAACATTACTCATCTATTCATTTCTTCAGTGTTTTTGCAATCGTGTTTTCTTACAGGTTCCTGTCGAAGTCTAAGAATGGTAAACCCTCATTGATACATGATTTGACATTTACAAATAAAAACTACTAAATCGGCCATGATGTGTTGCCACAATATAATATCTCCCTGATATTGATATTTTGAGGTTGATTATTCATTAAAATTAAAAAATATTGCCGTAAAGCTAGATCGTAAGAATTGATATTTGTCGAGATAAGTGCGTGTGAGAGGTAGTGTCGACGTCTGTCCGTTGCAGGGAGAGCTACAGCCTGCAGGCGTCGATGACGGAGTCTCCTGGCGGCAGCGCGCGCGTGGCGCTGGCGTCGCCGGAGGGCGGCGCGGACGCGCGCTCGTGCAGCGCCACGCCGCACGCCAGCCCCGACGGTAAACAACCCTTCGTATGTACCGCTCTACTTATACGCAACCCCCCCGCACTCTCGTCTCTCTATCTCTTTCCGCCTGTCGCCTCCGAGCAGTCTCCTTTGTCGTGAGTTATCGTTCCGTCTTTGCTTTGTCATTTCCAGGTGATTTAGCGATGTGATATTACCATTTTACGACAACTGAAATGTCACAACCAGATTCATTCTTCATCGCAATTGGTACAAATTCAATAAAAAATTGTAATATCTCATCGCTTTGTTATCCTTTCTTTTCAATGTTGCTGCTTTTGTATATTAAAATGATTTAACGAGGTGCCTATGAAGGAACTTTATTCTAATACCCTGCTTTTTTGCCTAGCTTCTTTAAGCTGCGAGTCGGGAACATCGTCAGCAGAACGGACCGCCTTACTTGGTGCTGCGAGTCAGCGCTCCCTGTTATTGAGTAGCGACTTGCGAGACGAAGACACTCTGCTTTGAATACCTAATAATGGTACAGCGGTGACATCCGCTAATTTAGATACACTTCGAAGAAAAATGACAAGGAATGGTTGAGGACAATCATTGAGATTTTGAAACTATTTGAGCATGAGTTGTCAGTTGATACATTTTGACTGAAATGTAAAAAAATCTTATGATTTCCAGTTTTTACATTGTTGTAGAAATGTCACAAGTTTAAATACAAAATAAGATTTATTAAGCACAAAACTTGAAGTTATATACACAGTTTGAAACCTTTGACATTTTTAGATAAATCACTCCATGTGAGTATCAGATACAATTTGTAACACCAAACAAATAAAAGTTAGACTTTTGAATGTTATTAGTAAGTAGCTTAATGTCGTCCTTAGATATGTATCTAATATTGTTATAACAGTCAATGAATATTAGCAAATAGTTAATATTGATAGTGATGTCATAGTTGAAATACTACAGAGTCTAGTTTAATAAGTTCCTAAGTTACGTTTTTAGACAATTTTAATAGACATTTAATTCCCAACTGTTTGTTTTATTTCCAGCTAAATAAAATACCATTTAAAAAAGATACTAAATGTTTATTATCACAAATCATGCTTCTTTACACATCAAAAATGGCTGTAATGCTACTTGGATATCAGGATCTAAGGGTATTTCATGAATGTACTTGGAAAAAGTTATGGCAATCTTATAAATACTTCTCTTCACTGATGAGACCAGGGCAGTCTTCATTTTAATGGCAAAACTATCATTCAAAATATGCTTCCTAGGCACCAGGCCCGGTTTTGTCAATTTATCTAGATTTTGTTTCAGGTTAATCAAGGTTGATATAACAATAGGCAAATCATTCTGAACCACTCCATATTTGTCTTCATTCAATGAAGCAGCAGCAATACAGGCTAAACCTTCACAAGTCCACATCACAGGCTGAGCTTGCATCAACAAAAACTTCAGTTTAGTATCAGTAAGTTCTCCAAACAAGTAACTAATACCAGGTTTTTGACAAAGTTTCTGAACAAACGAATTGAAATCATCTTTGACAGCATTTACAAATGTGTCTTCTTTATTGTTCTTATTGTGATCCTTAAGTTCTTTCAGTTTAGGAGATTGTGCCATATTCCTCAAATTTCCAGAGAATTGGAATCCATTACTTGTTGATGCATTTCCATTTTTTAGTTTGGATGCCTCTGCTTCATTCAATTTTCCATCTCCATTGACAGCATCTAGTTCCTTACTGAAGTCATTAATTATGCTGATGCATTGCTCCATTAAATTGTTCCAATTCCTTGGGTGTCCACCAGGCTGAGACAGTGTGTATATTTGTTGCCTCCTAGCCGGATCAGTCATTGACATAATTCTTAAATCTTGCGCACCCAAGTATCCATTAAATTGTGCCCTCAGAGCTAATGCATTGTGTAGCACTAAACTTCTAGAAGATTCAATAGGGAATTTCATTGGCTCAGTAAGTACTATGTTAAAAATAGTTCTCATTGTGTAGACTGACACAAAGAATAGACTTGTGTAAAACCAAAGCCCAATCCAAATTCCAGATTTCATCAAATTAAAGACATTGTCTAAAGGTGGGTCTTCCAGATACAAACTATAGACCTCTGATACTACACTTCTTGGTTTATTTCCCCACAGATAGTAAAAAATGCAATAATATGCTACTGGCATGATAGAATTTCTGAATCCCATGGAGAGGATATTGTTGACAGCCAATTTAATTTGCTGGAACTTATCTTGGTAAACATGAGGAAACATAAGCATTGTGGTTCCAAAAATGTGAATTTTCAGAAAATAATACAATCCCACCCACATGCCTCCAAACTGCAGAAAAAGACTTGGCTCCACTAGACATTGACCATCATAAAAGTCACACTTTTTCTTCAATATGTTGTACTTACTTTTTGCCAGAGATGAGTATAAGCCCATAGTAAAATAACCACTAAGTGCATATAATACACCGAACATGGCATTTTGCACCGAAAACATGTTTAAGAACATAGAGAACCGGGTAAAATATTTGGGCAATGGCATCATGTAATAACTTCCATAAACATAAGCTTGGAAAAAAGAAACCAATGCGAGCAATACGATGTTAAGTCCCATCTTCCATCCAAATATATCCTGTAGAGTTGAAGTTATCCATGACACGGGATGCAGTATATCCACTTGTATTAGAAAGACTAGAACGACAGCAAGAAATGTCTGGAGTCCGATATTCCACAACACTGAAATAATCAATCTCTTGGAAAAAATATCACTTTGTGTTTCCATAACGGCGGTTATTTTTATTTTCTCTCACTTTTTCGCTTAACTTCTCAACTTGATTTAGCGAACTGACATAGTTGTAAATTAGGCTTAGTGTAATCCTGATCTCCGAGTTTCACCTTGCAGGTTTAAACAAACAGCGGCTTCTTGCTTTAATAAAATAACCTACAACAAATTCAAATGAGATTCAACTTCAACCGCACGAATCATACAAACAGCCAAACTGACATGTGACAGTAAATGAAAATGACATTAATTCGTAGATAGACCGTAGAGCGTGGAGAGAGAGTCTACGAGATAGACGAATTTATTGGTTACGGCTACGACGTCTTACGATTGGTATTTTGATAGACATAATACTGCTCACTCAAATTTTTTCCTTTATGATGCCGCTATAAATAATATACATTTGCCAGAGTTAAAAGTTATTCTTGTAATATTATATTCTTATAATATAAATTGGGTGAGAGAGCGGGAGTGTCAGACTCTTACTGACTAAAAACGCCCTGTTCCTTCTCCTGCTCTGGGCCGAGGTCGCGGTGCCTCATTGCGCTTACCCCGCAACCCCGGCTAGGATCGGGAGGTGTGGAAGCGACATTACAGGCTAGTAAAAAAAATATCTCAAAATAAAACGAACTGACAGTTCGGTTGAAAGTCAGAATGTCAACATACATCACTATTTTTTTTCATCTGTGTCGAATTGTCGATGTCGATGGATGTGCTTTGCTTTCGCTTCTACTATCACAGAGTACTTTTTTAAACATGTTCTACTATTTTTAAAATGATATCGAAATAATCTAAATTAAACGTTGGTGATTAGTGAAATAAACTATTCGCTTTATTTATAATGACAGTTACAACCAGTTGGATTTCCCATGAGATTTAACTCAGTTTACGCGGTCGCGTAGTCAAGTGCCCTACATTTCAACACTTTTTATTCAAATGGAAGAGAGTTGTGTACATAATATAGTGTTTCTGGGAGTGACTTAATATTGGGTTTGGGATGGAATATTTTTTAAGGATATCGTCAGGTCGGATAGGCATTGATTGAGAAACTCTTGTTATGTATACTTTAGTAGAGATAGCTCTTAGTGTAGGGGTGCTTGTGACTCTCGTTACAGCACTTGCAGTATGTGTCTGTGGCTGCAAGAATTCCAATCAAAAGTAAGTCCTTGTTTATTTACATATTTACTAATTTATTATAACATTTCAAAATGTGGTAACATTACTCTGCAGTAACAAAATAAATATTTGCTATATTGAAATAACTTTGTTTCGAAAATCCTAATAAGTTTTTCATTTTGTTAAAACTTTTAGAATTGTTACTTTCTAGAATAAGTCACTTAACGTAAAAACTTATCACATTAGTTAATTTTAAAATGTTGATGTTACTTACAATGCTTAAAAATATTTAGAGATATTCTAACTCTTTGAGATTAATGTTACTTTAAGCAACTAAGAATTTTTAATTTAATTTTCGCAGTTTGAAATGATGCTAAATTTGATTAAAATATATTAGAACTAGGTATTATAATCATCTTTTTTGTGTACATTAAAAACAACACAAGTACAACTGACTCTAGCATTTGCTATAATTGCAACCCTTTAAAAATAAATATTTTTATATTTAACAGAAGTGAGTTGGTTGGTATGGCCGGTGTGGTCAAAATACGTTTTGATGAGGAGGCCCCATCTCCAACGCCCACCACTCCGGCCTCTATCAAGCGGTTTGTTATAGATCTAGCATGACCTAGACTAGACATACCTAACTAAAGGGCTAACATAATGGTCTAGATGTTTAACAGAATAACAGTACAACAATAATTTAATCTGGATTTTGAACTAATTTTATTTTTTGTATCGTAGCACCTTGGGTATTAAACTTCTTATTAGAATCTTAATTGGGATATTCTTATTAACTTTCTAACAAATTATGTTTGAACTACTTCAACAAAAATATTTAGTTTACTTCTAGAATATTTCATGTATTAAAGGCATTATTAAAGAAACCAAAACACCCATTTTAATAATACTCCAAATATCAATTTATATTTCTAGAAATATTTATGCATTTCATTGTAACAGACATAGGCAAGTGGTCATTGTCCAAGTAGGAAATTATTGTATCCAAATATTGTCCATTAATATACCCCTTAACAACATAATGTACTTATCTTTGCTAATATTTGTGACACCATATTTGTAAGGGCTTGCATGCTGTAGTATAATATATTCATAGCTTAACCAATAACTACTAGTATTATAATATGTATACTAAAGGAGTATCAAAAGAGTATCAGGTAGTTTTCTGGGTCAAAAATAAATAATTTGATATTTCAATACAATAAAATATTGAAATATATGTATATCTATACTTTTATTCATGGATTGATCAATACATTAAATTTTAGATATTTTCTATATAATTTTTAAGAAATAAGTAAACTATTTGATGCAAAAATACTATGACGTCATAACTCAGTGTTTCATACAAATTTCATAGAAATTTTCACATTGGATAAAAGTATTGAATTATGGACTAGTTGGAAACTATTGTATTAATGCAAACCTTCTTTTACAGTAGACAATATTTCTTTGCATCTAATAATTATGATTACATATCTCTATCTCCTAATATTCATATTTTTAACACTAAATACTTACAACAGTCATTACATGTGTCATAATAATCTACTCACTTGTATCTACAAACTTCTTTATAATGGCTTAGTTACTATTATATAAAAAACTACAATGCATGAATGATAAAATAGGCTAATTGCATGTATCATTTCATCAACACACAATGTTTCTTGTTAGACCATGTTAGTCATTTTCTGAATCAGCAGTGCCTTAATTGAATAGATTGTGTTTAATTCATTTCATTGTTTCGTCTTCAAATTGAACTATTTATTTATATGCGATCTAATAAAAAGATGAATACGACGACATCCTTATCCTTGCAATTTTGGGTAGATTATAGGAAACTGAAAGTATCCAAAATGAGTCATGTACACGAAATTGGATGACTCACAAACCAGGCGACGATTGCAGTATTTTTCAGTAAAGAAAAATTATCTATGATGGATTTTTCGTATGAAACTCGTTTCTAAATTAAAAAATAAGCGCCTGTAATGCCACATTTTCTAAAGACGCAAACTGTTTCATCTTTAAGCACTCTCTCTCAATTGTTAACAGTTATAACAGTTTCAACTAGGTTTCCAGAAATGGTTTCTCCAAAAATTACTATTTTCAACCTAATCCTTTCGCTGTTTGGGCGAATCGTGCTTTAAACCCGATGGTCATAAAATCATTTGATGAAGAAAAAAGATTAGATAGCTCAATCAATCTACCTTCCTAGGTAATCTTCCAAGATCCTTGCATCATAGGAAATATATTTTCGCCTGTTTGTCAGGCCTGTTAGCCAAGCTTACCGAGGATACAAATTACAATCTTGCGTCTCTGGTTGCATTTAAATGTAAGTAATTAGTCTAAAGCGGCATATTTGCAAGTCATTAAAGACAAGTATTTAAATGCATGGCTTAGAATGACGAAACGAACGGTTCCTTAAAACCTATCGAATAACCGACGTTAATGGACTCGTCCGGATTCCAACATGACCGAGGTGTGTTTTAACATTTTCCTTTTCCTGGATCTATAAATTATTTAATTAAGGTACTGCGGTTACATACGTTGCACGGCCACGATTCAAATCAATCACATGTTTCCACTTCGATATACCTGCAAAAAGCGGTTGTTACCCTTTATTTTGTTCATTTGCCTTGACCTAGAACTTTCAGAAATGTTACGGTACGTAGCTAATAAAGGAGGGTAACATTTATAGCGACATTTTGGCTTTAACGACTAGACTCTTACGTGATGCACGCAACCCATTCTTTTGCTAACTTAGCTTTGTTTATAGTATCTACGGGAATTTTCGTTTATTTCGCTTGTTTTGGATCCTTTATGAGTTATGACGGTAACGCTAGTAAGCATTCCATGCCTGCCATATAGTTTAACAGCGGGAAACTCTTAATGTTCTTCAACGGGAAAGAAGTGCTGAAAATTAAGAAATTTAACAAACTTATTTGTCAGGCACTTAAAAGCCATAGCTATAATTACTACGTTGTATGTATACCTGTCGATTTTCTTTCGATAACACCTTTCTTCGTTTGGCACTTCACAAATCTAAAAATGTTATGATGCTTTTTAAATTCCTTTGGGCAACCTATCCTATGAGATTTTAGGGGAACGACTTAGCTTTTTTTATTTAAAAACCTACCTACCACCTCCAAAGAAAACTAGCCCGAATCCCTATCGAGGTAAAGTTATTTTCGTATTGCTCATTTATTTGTTATGCCTCATTGACAGGGCGTCTACACAGAACAGTCAGCGAAGTTTGCCAGAAATACCGCATCCAGTGGGGAGACCCGACAGCGGCGACACTGCTTCAGAAATATATGCCACCGTGAATTTGGATGAAGGTAAACTTCTGGAATGCGAGTAATAATTAACTAAGTACTACATTGCTACATTGCGAGACACTGATTGCAAGACATTCGATTGATCGATATATGAGTCGATTTATTCTGGTTCAATGATTTAGTAATATTGGTACTGAGTAAAGACGCTTATGTCGATATATTTGCCAAGTGAAAATCACTAAGCAAAACTCGCCAATGAAGTTCATGACATCTGTCATAAGTTATTAGACAAACATGTTGCGGTATGACCTACGAAACCTCGACACATACCTAGTTCTTCAAAGGTCGCGGGCGAAAGTAACTAACTAGGTTCCTTTGATGTTCAGTTTTGAATCCTATAGCTGTAGTTTTAAGTGTCAACTTTATTTGTTGATGTGTATGGTTTTTGTCGATTAGGCGTCTGTAAGCTCTGAATAATTCCATTCCTGCGTGACGTGTTGAAGTAATGTATTTTTATGTGTCTACGTACACTACTAGTATACAAATTATATATGTCACGTTAAAATGTTAGCTTGTTGCGCACTTTGTTGTGTTAATTAACCATGAAGTGTATTATTTATTGTGCACTAAACACATGCAGTTACAACATACGTACCTTTAGAACATTAACATAAATTATGTTTGTATTATTAAGTGCACCGCAAATAATTTATTTTCTAATTGCTTTTTATTGCATCTGAGTTAAAAAAGCGTGCTATGGGACTAATAGACTATGGGAGAAAACAGTTACGCCTCGTATAATATTCATTTTGTAAAAAGAAATGGTTTTCTTAAGAAAACCTTAATGTATCGTAATGTAGTAAGTACGATTACGCCTTCGACTGCGTGTTCCTATAGATAGGTACTTAATTAAATATTCCCTCGTATTATTAAAGGCAAATACGTAAGAGTACTAAAATGCTAGTTAAAAAAATCTAATTCATCTAGGTGTACTAACCACGTACTTACTATTTTATTCCAGAATTTATATGCTTTATGCTTTAAAAAAAATAATTATGAATTAAGTATCGGCAATAACTCTGCAGATTATACTCCAGTCGAACAGATGGTTGCAATGGGTTATAAAATATAGAAACCAGTTTAATGCAACCTATATAATTTATTCATTAATGCAGACGTGATCAGGAGTGGCGCATTAGATTTTAATTCAATGGCTGTATTTAGATACTTTCCTGTCCTTTATGAATCAGGTTGTACATTTAAATTTAATCCTTGTTAGCCTCGTCGACGGTAATAAAAAGGTAATAGAATGCCTAACAAACTGATATGATGGTGTCTTTATCCCGGTTTACTGTTGTATAATGCGGTCTTTCAATTTATGAAGATTCTTAAAGGGCCAAGCAATGATGTTACAAGTTTTTGCAAAAAGAGACTTAGACATGATAGAAGTAAGGAGAAAATATATGTTTAACACACGACCACCGCCTTTAGTGTATGGGAACCATACTTGTCCACGATTGCGTCACAGAAAACCGGCGTGAAACAATGCTTATGTTATATTTCGCTTTGTGAGTCGGGTTACCGGATGTCCAATCTAGGGAAGATCCTTCCATCTCCAATCCCCAAATTATCTAAAATCCCTAAACTCCACAATAACGGAATCATCATAAGTAATTAATGTATGGGCCTATTGTGGTAACCTCACTTACAGGCGAAACACAACGCTGTGGTTGTTTCGTGTTGGTTTTCTGTGACGCCGAGATATCACTCCGGTCGAACCTTTAGTGCCGAAGCTTGGCTCTTTCACACTTGATTGCATACCATTAAGAGATCCCTCTGCTCGATTATTATAAAAAAAATACACCCAAAGCTGGCTTGCCTCATTGCCTTGCATCAAGTGGGTCCGAAGCTTCTTTACTCCTCATATCATCATAAATATGTTCATCGTTCAAGGAAAATAAGACTGCATCAATTGTACTTTATACACGTTACGTGTCCGGTATAAATCATATTTATTTTATTTTCCTTTGTACCTTTTATAATCACGTACCTAGATCGTTGTATACTATTTTATTGCAATTTTATTTTATAAATAAATTATATGATGTAGAATCACCTATTGTTTATTAACATTAAAACAAATACCTAATGCAAACAAAAAGGATCTTGTCCAGTTTCTGTATACTGTTATACGTGCTAATATTTTGCAAACATTTTATTGCTTTAGAAAACATTATATAATGGTTAAAAGTATATATAACCACTTGTATTATTTCTATTTTATAGCAATTACCCAGTCGACATATATTTTATAACAGTTGGTACTTTTTCTTTAAAGAGACGACCTATTTACTTTGCCCTCCTAATTTATTTGGGTACTATATGAGGGATACCAATTAATTTATTTCATCTAATGAAAAAGCCGCTTTAAGTTCCAAAAGGAAAATAATAATTATCTTATTAAATATTTTTAGATTTCCTTACAAATATTCTACACTCAAGGTCTTCCGTTTGATAAAATGCCCGCATAATTGCACGATTATCTTAACACGTAAGGCCTAAAAGCTATTTGTGGCTACCGTTTTGTAGTAGTTCATTCATCAGATTGTAGATACGATCGCAGCATTATCAGTTGAAAGATCCAATATCGTTCAAAAGGGCCGCTACTCGGAACTGGTGATAATTAATTTGTAATCAGTACATGTTTTCACTAATCGATGTTGTTTATCTGCAGGTAAAACAGTAGCGACTGCATCTACGAGCCGAGACCATCCCTACGAGCATGCCTACGCTAAAGTCCAGAATGAAAGTCATAATATGTTAGTATAATTAATCTGAGCTGCATTTTACTAACTATATGCTACTTTTATTTAACTTTTTATCCGCCACATATTACGCATTTTTTCTACCACCGGATTGTTTTATCCAAAGACACTTGGTAGTAATAGTAATAGGATTAATAAAGTAATCCATCCAATCAATACGGTAGAAAGCCGATTATCCAATTTTTTTTGGGAATGTGGTCGATTCTTGTAATCGAATATTCGGAAATCGGACTTAGACTGGTAATTAAGTAAAAGGAACTATCACAAATTAAAATTACTTTTGTGTAAAAAAAATGTTCTAAAATAACACTCTCCTGAACATCTAAATCAGAATAAGTTGCACCCCATCAGGGCGTTATAGAAAGTTTCAGCTTATTAAAATAAAACAAAACAATATTACGCTTAGTACCTACTGATTCCGATAATTTGCGATTCGGTTCGTCTGTTTTCTATTATACTACTTATAAGTACTAAAATAGTATGTAAATTTTAGACTTTTATTACTAATTTCAATTAAAACAGATTGATATTATGTATGTGTTCTAACTTAAGGTGAAATAAAGGACTTTCATTTCATTAGGGAAGGTCGATGACCGGTCTTGTATTTTCCCATCGATGTAAATAGACCCATGGTTGGTAAAGAAGCCATTTCAGCATAATAACACAAGTATCTGTGAATTTATAAATTAATCCCAAATACAATTGATTTGAACGATATCTTTCGTTCAGTTCGTGTAAAACTACTTAAAAATAGCAATATAAAAATTAAGTTTCTGATTTAAATGTGGTGTGTTCTCCTTTTGATTAAACCTTTTTTAAATAGTTATTTTTCTTTTAAGTTTGAAATCTAAATAACTTAATTTATTTTACAGTCTTGTCGAAGTAACTACGGATCAAACGCCTGAACGAGAAATTCAAATCGATGAGCGGGAAGTAGGACAAAATCCAGCAGGTATGTGTGATATATAAATCATGTAACTTTTAAAGGAAAAATTGCATCGTTAATCAGATAATTTGTGAATAACAACATTGGAATATCACATCTAATTACAATAATTATCTAAATTACGGAAATAAATTCTAAGAATCAGTTACTATCACGATTCACGTACAACGATCATAAATACGTGAATTTTGATCTAGATTGTATAATCTTAATTGAAATAAGTAGCCGTATTTTGCATTGTCAAGTTAAAAATATTGTTTTTTTTTAGAATCTGTAATATCAGCGTCGGTAGCGATAAGTGGGCAACTGCCTTCGAGTCAAGAGCTTCCTTACATCACACCGCCATCGCCCCGACCGAATACTGACAACAACACACACTTCAGTGGAGATTCCACTGATTCAGCAAGTATGTTTGACAATAAGTTATAGAATATTTTTCTACACACATAATTCACCAGCCTAAAAGCGCCCACTGTTGAACAAATACCTATTCTCAGGCGTAGAAAAAATCAGTATTAATCAATTTCATCACTACTCAAAGCCGAATGACGATTTCAAACTTCTAAAATCTGCTTATTCTAATATACAAATATATAAGTACCTAATAATAACTTTCAAAATTATGTATGTCCAAGTGTCCTCACGATGATTTCCGTTATCTGTGATATTACTTAGCACACTAATTACTATTTTTATTTGTAGCATTTAAATACTACACGCAGTTTTATAAAGGAAAACTTACATATGTAGTTTTCTAATAGAAAGTTTGTACTAGAAAACTCAATCGAAATGGGAGACATTATAGGTCACTTACTTGTCAAACTGTCATCTTATCGGAAACCCAGATAGTACAGACGCAACAGCACTAAAAGACAGAAGAAATAGTTTACTTAACTTACACATACATATAGAGGTTTCTTCGAGAAATGCTACTTAACAATAAAAATGTTAAATTAAAAAAAGGTAGGCGCATAAATGAAAATGTTAAGTTCTTTTAGAACGTAAGAATAGAGTTTAGTCAGAGGAATAAAGTGACAAAAACTATTTTCTTTTAAGATTAGCATTTTTTTTTCGAGTGCATTGTTTGGTGTTATTTCGTGCGGATAATTAATGCAAAGTTGTTCGTGATTCATCATATCATTAACAAATTGCTTTAATGCACTTTACAATTTAATTACAGATACCTACCTACTTCTACATGTACTTTTGAAGTGATTAGTCAATATTCAGTTTACCGCCAGTTGCCTTGATGTCCATGTAGATTTCATATGAGTAACACCAAAATTCCATTATTACTGATAAGATTTTGAAGAAGATATATCAAAAATATCTTTTAAAGTCTACATTCAAAAATATACCTTAAAACTAGTGCTCAACAATTGTTTTTGAATTTTCGGCTATAGCAGTTGAATAGACATTTTAATTTAGTAAAGGATGGATATTATTTATACTAGGAAATCGTCGAATGCATCTAATTTGATAATTTAGTATGGTGACAAAAATATTACTAGATGTATCGAGATTAGGCATTTTAATCTTCTGTTATAGATGGATAGTGTAATTTTATCTAATTACTCACTTATGAAAACAATAATTTAAGCTAAATAACGAATCACCAATGAAATTTCGGTAGCTATTTTAAATAATATGCAGTGATATCAGAAGAAATTAATGATTATTATTTTAAACAGTTTCGGGTTTAACCTTCTGAATATGCCTGTGTTGTATTTCAATAATCAGGTTTTTAACACTAGCACTATAACGTTGAATTGTAGAAATATTAATACGTATTATTGTGAATTCTTCCGCGCGCCTCAAAGAGCCAATTGCGGGGCAAGTGCAATTAGATACCGCGGCGTTCGACCTGGGGCAAAGAGCACGGGTTGGGTTTTAGTGAGTTAGACTCTGACACTTCCTTTCGTCTCAACGTTGACTAGACAAGACACAAGATGATTGTAACCCATTAAAAAAATTACTAGTGCCAGGGCCGGACCTATAAGAGACGATCTCCGGCCACCGTAAGCGCTGGTCTGCGGACGGCGAGTAAGGGTAGCTCGCCGCCCGACCAGAACCAGACCCGAGCGTACGGCGCGTAGCGTTCCGCGCGCGCCTCATAGAGCCAATAGACCACCACAGACGGGGCCCTATAGGGCTGATGTTTAGTCGGGATTGCGGGGTAAGCGCAATGAGGCACCGTGACCTTGGCCCAGAGCAGGAGAAGGAACGGGGCTTTTTAGTCAGTAAGAGTATAACACTCCGTCCTGTCCGACCCTAGGCGGGAGAAGTCATATGATGATTTTTCCTTAACATAAAAAAGGCCCGACCTAAGGCTAGCGGTCCTAAATGGGAACAATTTTTATTCTCGCACCATCTAAGAGTATTAAGTCATCTAGCACCGGCAATGGGTGAAACTGTAATTCCCTCATATGAGTGTAAGTGTAATATGTAGGTATATGACGTAAACCAGCAGTGTGACCTACATACGAAATGGTAGACAGGTAGAAATTAATCCTAATCATGTGTTGTACTAAATCCAAACAAATTCCAACTTTAAGATCTGTCAATAAGACTGCTAATCTAACTTCAACTAAGAACATATGATTACTGATATCTTCAGACACATTATCGCTTCAATCTATCAGTTATTGACCCTCTATGTTTTACTCCAATAAAGTTATCTATGATGCATTATTTTAATACAGTAGATACCTATATATCATTTTGGTTTGTGTATACCTTAAAGAATCTTATAAAGAAAACCCAAAATTGGGTCATAGGTCAAAAATAAATTAATTTGTAATTTCAATACTTAAGTACTTGTATTCATCGATCTATCGATACACCTAATTTACGATATTTTTAGTTATTTCCCAAGAAATAATTGAGCTATTTGACGGATAAATACTATGAATAATCTGAAGTTTCATACTTCATAGAAAAGTATCGTTTTTAACATTTAGATAAAAGTATTGAATTTGACTATTTGGAAACTACCGTATTATAAACTTAAAACCTATATCCTCCAATAAATAGAAGTAAAAACATAATCATATGTTTATAACGCGATTCATTGTACAACTAAAAATCTCCAAGAACATTTTCTTGTTTTAAAATGATTACTACTATGATACTTATATAATAAAGACGTTTACGATAAGAGTAGGTATTATTCGTGCATTACAGGTGGATTGAGGTCTTGTGAGTTAAATTACTCTAACTAGGAAAATGTTATGTCAAATGGTTTGACTCTAGCAAATTCTCAATAGACCTTAGCACTCACTGACGCCCTAACTGCGAATTCACAGGCAATAATGTTAAAAAAATGCATTTTTTTACAGAGGGCTACACAAGCATTTCAGTGCGAGAACCATTGAGTAACATTCGCGCTCAAAGTAGCAAGCCGCCGTCACAACCTCACTATGCCACTGTGTCTGATGATTCCGGTAAGTACAAAAGCTTTTGAATTGAAATATATTTAAACTAGCTACTCTCGCGCAGTTTCGCGTGATGCTCGACTCCTATTGGTCATAGCCTATAATCTTTGTCGATAAATGGACAAACGAACACAAAAATAATTATTCAATTCGAACCAGTACTTCCGGAGATTAGCAAGTTCAAACAAACAAACAAACTCTTCAGCTTTATAATGTTAGTATAAAGAGTTAACCCTTATGTACCCTACCTAGGCCGGCACTGCGAGTGAAAGCGTAACAATGTACCGCGGTCCCAGCCTAGAGCAGAAGAACGAAGGGGTGGTTTAACTTTTTAGTAAATTAGAGTCTCATTATCTCTCTCTCGCAGTGATTGGGGCAGAAAGAATTTATATGCTGAGTTGATAAGGCTAGGTCCGGAAAAGAAAAGTTAAGGTGAAAATCGAGAATAAGTAATATGTTCGATGCCGTAGCGGTCCGCTGATCAAAAAAGGAGATAATTGGACACTTTTATGTCGAAAAGACAAGGAAGGGCAGTTGTATACATATTTTAGTAACTATTATTATGTGATACAAATAACAAACGAGACAAACTGCATTATTAGTATTTTATAAAATATCTAAACTGTTTTTTTTTAAATATTAAAAGAAATGTTGTAAGTTTCTGAAATAATCGCGAATTGTTTTCTATCAATCCATGCAACTAGCTATCACACATTTTTTATTTATCTAATCGGCCTATTTAAATTTATTATCTTTTAAAAGAAATTGACATAGTTTATTTTGTACTAATTTTGTACGATGGGTTTCCCTTCTTCCGGTACCAAACAATGGATAATTTCTAAGTACTTAATCAGAATTTAATTACCTACCTAAATAACCTATCTAATCGAATTACACAATAACCTATCTAAGCTACTACAATAACAATTACCTATTAACTATAAAACTTATTATTTAACGTGTAATGTCACATTTGTTGTTTAAAAATATATTGACACGGACGTAGGTTTAGGGCTTGTTTAAATTAATCATATAAAGTACCCGAAAAACTTATGTGGCATATACATATGTAATGTAATTACCTAGGTATATCCATACAAATTCTTTCCATCTTCAAATAAATATGTATCTGTCATATAATGGCAATCCAGGCGGGCCCTCAAGTACATGCAGTTTACTATTTCACTTAAATTTATTTCGTCCTGTCTAATAGGGGAACAACTACATTCTGTCTAACTGCTGAAAACAACTGTCTGATTGTTAAGTTTGATCTGTATTTAATCTCTCTTTTTTTAATAAATCGTTTGTATTTCATTTAATAAAAAAATTGCATTAAAATTAAACTAAACCATACCTACGATGCCAATGACTACATAACAATTTGTTAAATATGTGACGTCACAAAAATGTTACAAAGCTTGTCAAGTACCAGGGGCTAAGTCCACCTAGAAGGTTTAACATTTCCAACAATCATAAAATTCGTAATTTATAGACGCCTTTTATAGAATCTATACTATCCAAAACTCGCATAACAAATATTTTTCTATTGCAATAAAAACTTAAATAGATATTAGAATCATCGATCTTTTTTGATATCGGTCTGTAATGGCGCTTAATAATTGACTATCTTGATATGAGTACGTGAGACGTTTTAAACATCAATAAGTAGCATATTATGATCATTATCGTTAGAATAACATCATTAGAATGTCTATCAATCGCTGGGACAAATTAGGTAATGCAGTCGTTATGATATTGAAATGAAAATCTAATGTCGTGGGATTTGAGGTCGAAATTCCTTTGTTTCTGGTTTTCTTCGAAGTTCAGGTCCTAAATTGAACTTGATTTAAAATTTTGTATAAGGACTATGTTACTGTAACTTGTAAATTATCGAAACCTTAGAATTTTCAGTAAAGGGAATGATTTGTTTGTTTATATTTTTCTCACTCATCAAATTGTTAGCTGCCCCTTACTAGACTCTTGATTTGTAAAATAATGGATAATAACTGTAATTAATCCTACCTTTTCTCTTTGAGACTATAAAACCAAACTTAAGAAGAGCTTACATATATTATACGTTACATCCGATCCGTGTCCATTCTTAATCTTGAACTGATATAATCATTTTACTTCCAGACGAGATGTATGCAGCCATCGAGGAGCCTAGCGTTGGCGAAGGTTCGGACACTTACGCGCAGATTTCCACTGAGCCACGTCGTAGGGATCCTACGCCAGATCTACTGCACACCGACCCCACTCACGTTGCTAGGTAACCGCTTATTTTATTACAACAAATTGTCTTCGACTTTAGAATATCGATACATTTATAGTGATAAAGAGGTGACATATAAATTAGTTAAATATATCAACAATCCACCCATTGCTAAGGTCGATATCTATAATCGTTTGTCGCACTTCTTACTATCTTCGATAAGTATGTGGTCAACAAATTAATCCTCATTGGTGGGCTTAAGAGGCGGACCCTTTCATCTATTGATACTATAAAACAGAAGCCTTATCCAGACATCAACAGCGGCTGCTTAGTGACGAGCTCCCTTATCAACATGTCAAAATATTTAGATTAATTCCAGGTTTTGATTGGCCTTCTCTTGATAAATAAACAAATGAGTACCCAATCGCAACAATAGTTCGGCCATTGACAGCTCGTTATCAAACTTTTGTGTTGATTGTACCTTTAAAAAATTCGGGTGCCGTAATCTGAAATCAGTGATTAAGCTGTAGTATCCGGCAGCCACATGTTCGACATTCTTTATAATTTATTTATTGACGAAAACAAACTTCGCGACAGATTTTACATTTTGCATTTTCAGTTTTACTTATGACAAATATTTGTACTATCTTACTATAGTATTCATTTAAAATTCCATTTCTGTTTCGTACGTTATTAGGGTCGTTTTAATATGCGATTTTCTTGTAATGTTTTTTGTAATTTGTTTAGACGTAGTGCTCCACCGGACGTCGGTGCATCAACGTCAAACGCTACGCACTCTAGACAAGGTAACTTATCAATTTTACGTCACATTTTTTGTAATTTATGCTATATTTAGAAATTAAGATGTCATATTTTCATATCGTGATAGCCAAAGGTCTACTACGTCTTTAATACTTGCTTTAAGCATCGATTACTTGCATTGAGTACTTTTACATGTTTCGCCTTTATTAAAATTAACATGAAATGTCCCATCAGCGTCTTCCTCATCTTGCTCGAACTCGACGGGCGCGCTGGGCTCCCCCAAGCCAGAGAAGCGACAGGCTAACTCTCCGCTACCTCCGCCGCCGCACGTAGGCTCGCACGGCGGCACGCACGCTGGCTCGCACGTCACGTCGCACGTGACGTCACACGTCACGTCGCATGTCACGGTGCACGCCGCGGCGCACTCCTCGTCCCACGCGGCGTCACACAGCACGGCCCACCCCGCGCCGCACGCATCGTCCCACGCCGCGCCGCGCCAGCCTGCCATAGAACAGGCACTCGCGCAGCGACACCAACGGATGTCAAGTACAGGTACTTAAAAATTCTCTATTCAAAACAAACTATACCTTTATACCCAAAATCTTTACAGATTTGTCACTAAAAACTTATCTTTTTCACAGGTGACCTCTTCAACCATGACAAGTTACGAAGGAGTCTCAACGAGAAACACCAACGAAACAACAGTTGTGTGAGCTCTTCAGATTTCTATGGCTGCAATTACCCCGTAGAGAAGCATAGATTTAGTTCTGGGGATTTGATCAGACCACTTGTCGCCAGAGAACTAAACTTCGACATCGACCAACGCGATAGTCAAACTGACAACCTCTACAACTCTATCGATGGACCAGGTTACAGCGACTACTCTTCGGCAGATGCTAACACTAGTTTGAATTCGGATCATCGCGTAACTGAAAGTCCTTCACGGAATGTTGAAGAAATGTATGCTAAAGTTATGAAGAAAACTAAAGGTAGAACAGAAGAGAACGTTAGGCGTTCAAAAGATTTCACAGGAGCTGATAGTGAACCACACACGTCGAAGTTCCGAGGGGACGATCCCGGTTACGAGACTATCGATCGGAAAAAGTCAATAAACCACGGATATGAGACTATTGCTCATAAAGAGCGGAAGTCATCACAGAATCAGGATCCAGGATACGAAACTGTGAAAGACATAAATAAAGCAGGTCCTACGTCAAACTTTACAAACAACAATTTGCTAAAGTTGAATCACCTGGCTGTGGACAGTGGGCCTAATAGCATTGTAAGCAGTGACGCAGGCTATGAGCATATTTCTAAGACTGACAACAATGCTTCCGATTCAGACCCCAACTATGAAGTGCTGAGGAACCAGCCGCCCACACCACCTTACGCAACGATCGCACCCAACTACAAAGTACAGCCAACCTACTCCACAGTAAACAAAAAGCCCAATAAGTACAATAATTGGCCTGCTAATAATAACGAAGAACCCACCTTAGAACCAAACTACGAGTCTATGCCGCATGACCCTCTGTACAACACTGGCAGTGAATCAGATCCCAATTATGAGTCTGTTCGTCCCAAGGACCCTAATTATGAGAGTGTGAGCACGCAAGATCCGAATTACGAGTCATTAAGGTGTAAGGATCCAAAGTACGAGTCGGTTCGATCGAAAGACTCGAAGTATGATTCAGTGCGTTCCAAAAAAGATCCGAATTATGAAAGCGTCAAGTATTTTGAGCTGTCAAAGAAAGAACCGCCATACGAAAAGGTCAATAATGATGCTTCAGGGAGCGCCAGTGTGGAGAGGTCAGATTCAGCGGCGGGATACGAGAAAATTAGCGTACCAAACAGAAGCGAGCCGAAAAGCAGTATTAATAACGGAGGCGACGCCACCGTCAGTGATTACTTTCAAGTGTAAATGTGTAAAACAAGAATATTATATATGACTTTGTTTATGAACAATGTAACAGGAAATTGAGCTATTAACATGAATATTTTATTAACAGTATTCACGTAGGTTTTTGAGATTGAGTGCTTTTTATTTATTTATTAAAATATTTTAGGGACTGTTTACAGCACCTCAACGTTAGATATAATAAGTAATATCTTCCTTAGGTATCTGTGATATAATATGTATGTTATAAAATTTTTGATTTTTGTTTTTATTTCCATAAGATTTTTATATGAGCATTGATAGACATTATGTTATTCTGAAGGCAAGAATAATTTGTTACGAAATCTCCATTTATTAATGTGTTCATAAGTGTGATTATTTTCTACACTTTGATATTATGCTGATGAAATGAATGCGTGTGTTGTAAATTGCATGTACAAAATGTAGATTGTACATATTTTTTTAATTTTAGGTAATTTATGACTAACTTTATTATGAACTCTTTTATCGTAGAGTGGATTGACTTCGCGTTGGTCACGGTTGTCTTTGCGAGTGTGTAACTCGGTTTAAAGAGGGAGCAGACAGGTTAGTAAAATGGTGTCGTTAAAAATTTAAGATGTCGAAGTAGCATTTTTTTTATCAATACATGAGTTTTTTACTTTTAAGTTTTAATTTTTAGATGTCATTCCAGACAGTAATGTGGTGCTTTATTTTACGAATGGTCCTTTATGTTTAATTTATACTTTAAACTCATTTGAGGTCTGGAACAAGGAGTTGTATGAAATCATCGCTTTTTATTTATTACCGTAAATAAATAATAAAACGGTGAGTGATGTCCAAAAATCTAAAGAAAAATAAAGAGGCAACGACGACTTTTATGAATTTTGTATAGTGAATGAATTTGATTATTTTTTAAACTTGTACCATACTATCGACATTCTTCACACGACACCAATTTATTACACCTGTTTAGATGGAAGAATATCAAATTAATGGAGCCTGCATTTTAGCTTAAGACTGCCTTATGTGTTTTGATTATGAATATATTATTAATTTATATAAAATTTTACATCAACGAATTCAATTGAACATCTTAAAAAAAACATCAGCAATTTATTTGAATTGTAACATAATTGTAACATTTTGTTTAATTTTTTGTTGGTTATTTTGTTTTTAATTTACTGTTGTAACAAATTACACATTATAGTATATAAAATTGTAGTGTTTTGTCCACGTTAAAAAATGATAACGGACAGACTCGGTTTTAGTAAGAAGTATAATATGAATTCCAGGACACAAAAATGGGGTATTTTTTGTAGTTTGTTTGCTGTTTGATAAGATTATTATGTACCTGAGAATATTATTTTACGATCATCCTCTGTCCAACAATTTATAGTGATGTTTGTGAATGCACCAAAGTGATTTTTTGGAGCATGGTACGGCTGGTACTAATGTGTTCAATTAGTTATAATGGTTCAAACGATTGATGATCATATCACTCGTTAGAATTGTATTCCTTCGCTGAAAATACTTGGTGCATTCCAGTACTACTGACATTAACCATCCATTTACATTATATTATGTAACATTGTGCCCTAAAATGAGCTTTCCATAAACTTTCTACTATTAATAGTATTAATTTTTTTTCATGCACTGTCTCTGTCACAATTTCAAACTACAGACTGTTATGACTGTCTTAAATCATCGTTTTTCTATATACTATTATCAATAAAATAAGTAGATATATTATGTATGGATACCTAATTTATAAACTTGAAAGTTTATTTTACCATGTATAACAAACATGTATTTCATTATAATTTTTGTAATCTAAAGCACAATTTACAATGTAACTTCACGTATCGATTGACTGTAATATTATTGTACTTACCTATATACTTATGGAACTTGAATGAATGTATCATAATTAGAATCTGTATAATATTCAAACAAACTCGAAAACATTCCAACAACTAATAGATCCAGTGAATATACTACCTATATTTAATGGAATAAAGTATGCCATATAAAACAATAATTTTTGTTTAATTTTTATAACTGACATGTTAGTAGATCTGTCCAAGGTAATTATTTCATTCGGGTAAAGGGGGCTTGTCAGCCAACTTCAATTTTGCCCTAGGCCCTAGCGCATGTCAGCGCTGTGAATTGAAGAGGACTAAAATGTTCACGACATCGTCAGAGTCGCGGGAAGCCAATATATACAGGTGGCAACTCGTCGTTCGACGTGGAGGACTAAAGGGGAGGCCTTTATCCAGCAGTAGACGTATTCCGGCTGATGATGATGAAAATTTTCTTTATAAGTATAGACCGTAAGGCGCTTTTATATCTCTTCTCATCAACGTGTCAAAGTAGGATTAAAGAATTTTTATTCTTTATAACGCAAAGTTAGTACTACTCGTGCGCGATAAGTTGAGACCTGCTAGGAATGCGACTCCCCGCCCGCTTCCCCTGCACTTCCCCGATGGCGCCCGTATTGTACCGTTCGCATCACTATTGTTTAGTCTCACAGAACAGATACAAAAGGTTTACCTATACCTTTTTTACCTGTTAGGTATACCTTTTTTAACTGGCCTACGTCACGTACCGACGCGCTCTGAAATTTTTTTACTTTGTTATTTTGTGTGTTATTTTTTTGTTGTTATAGTTCTTGTTAAGTGTTTTTGTTATCATTGTGAAGGGTAAAACTGCATAGCGGAGAAAGAAACCTCGTGCTAAAAGTGTTAGAGTTTTTTGAAAACGAAAAACGGAACAAACAGTTTTGTTTACCTATTGACAACTCAATCCAATCGAATATATTTGGAATTTGGTCAAGCAAAGAGTAGCCGATAAAAATATCAACCAGTCTGAAAGGGAAATAGAAAAATTAACGAGAGATGCAATTACCAGCATAAGTGAGAGTGACTGGAAAAAAGAAGTCAACCATGTGGACAGGCTTCGACAAAAGTATTGGGATGATGACCTCCTACAAGAGACAAATGAATCGCAATTAATTGTAAATTTATCGAATACCTCTTCGTCAAGTGATTATAGTGAGACTGAGGACGAAGAACAACAAATGTAAATAATAGATAAAATAAATGTATAAACTTAAACATTGTATTTTTATTCATTATAAAACCATAGTCAACACTTTCGGTGATACATAATTAAATACCTAGTGTCCTATTTTATATTCGAATAGTGTAAAAAAGATTAGATAAATGGCAGCGTCCTCCCTGAGTAACATAATAAATTAGGTTAAAAAAAAACAAAGACGAAGCCGCGGGCGGCTGCTTGTTATGTTCGCTTTTTTGCGGGCGGTACAAACACGCCAATGTGACGTCACCGCGCTCAAGTCTCAACTTATCGCGCACGGGTAGTATGTAAGTTAGACTTAAATAATGTAGTCGATTTTTGTAGACCCAACTCTATTTGACATTACATGTCTGTTTGACAACAAAGCAAATTTGACAGGTAGTGACATGGAAGTGGAACTGATCAATTAATAATTTAGTGCAAATTTACATGAAATTTATCTGTTTGATCTACAATTCTTATCAGTAAATATACAAAAATGGCCAATTTCAACAACCCGAATGATTATTCATGGCAAACTCAGAATAATAGCCAAGGGTACTCTTTTAACACTTCTAATGCGTTTGCCGATCCAGCGCAAACGTTAGGTGAGCAAGCACTTCCTAAGATTAAAGATATCTGTTTACGATACAAATGTTAGTAATATGTCTGTTAACAACAAAACATTTTCTTTCAGATTTTCAAACATTTCCAACCGATCAACAAAACTACTCTTTCGACCAAAATCAGGGTACTATGACTGCCAATAACAACCAGTACTACAATTCAAACATATTTACTCCAGCACCAGTGCCCGGTGAGCCAGTAGGTGAACCAACCGAGTTTGACGAACCACCATTGTTAGACGAATTGGAAATATACCCAGATAGAATATTGGAAAAAACTTTAGCTGTACTTAATCCATTCCACGGTCAATCAAAAGCAGATGATGCTAACTTTTTACTGAGAGACACAGACATAGCTGGCCCTATAGCATTTTGTTTAGCACTAGCAGTGTGTTTATTCCTAGCTGGGAATAAGGCACATTTTGGGTATGTTTATGGGTTATCTGTAATGTCAGTAATTTTGATGTATTTCCTACTATCTCTAATGAGTCGCACTGAAGGAGTTTTTACCCTGCTAAGTGTAGCTAGTGTCCTAGGCTACTGTATGTTGCCCATGGTGGTTTTGGCTGGTCTTGGGATATTCATCTCTCTTGAAGGATCTGTGGGATTAAGTTTGTCAGCTGTTGCTGTTATCTGGTCAGCACTTTCAGCGAGCAGGCTGTTTGTTACCATGTCTGGTGATTCTGAACAGAGACCATTGATTGCCTATCCCTGTGCATTAGTCAATGGAGTTTTTGCTCTGTTAGTGCTCTTTTGATTGTTTGTAAGTGTAACAAATAATATCTGATTAATATTGTATTAAACAGAGGTTATGAAATTACTGTTTATACATACATACAACAATCTGTACAGAACTTTAGTTATGTATAACCAGAGACATATAGTGTTTTTTATGGAAATAAAAATATACTCAAAATTTCATGTTTCACAGTGTAATATATAAAATGTGTAATTATTTTTATTAACTTAAGTTGCAATAAAAGATTGTAATAAGTTGTATTTTATACAAATAAAACATTATAATTAAACCCCAAAGTTGTTTTAATAAATAAACTAAAATATTAACTAGTTATTACATTCGATTGTATAATGTTGGTCGGTCGCTGAAGAAGTTCTTGAGTACCATGACTTGTATGAAAGTTACACAAACAATAGCTAGGGATTCGCCCATGGACCACCAGAATACTCTCTCGTTAAGGTCCTCTGCCCTCTTGCGACCCTGAGCCTCTCTTAGCCTGTGGTGAGTTTGGTGGTCAATGATTCTGTTGAGGGCTGAGTGAATTTCTTCGGCAGAAGTTTCCAGCTGAAAATTATAGCAAAAGCAGTTTTACAGTAAATTAGTGAGTAGGAAAGTAGCATTTAAAACAGTGAAAGAGTCATACAGTCATAAAGACATATAACTATCATATTTACTCATGGAGAAATTTATGATTACTAGTAGCAACAAGTTAAGAATGTTACTTAAAAATCATGTATTTTTTAAATAGTAGGATATGTTTCGTGACTTCAGTTGACTACATTTGCATTTGTTAAGTTATCAGTTTACAGCAAAACTGGTTAAGTAGGTATTTTAAGCAGACCTACTGAAAATTATTTGACGAACCTGTGTTAGAACAGTAGCATGGTCTCCGACTCCGGGCAGAGGCTTTTCAGGGCCCACATTTAGCTCCATGTATACAAGTTTATGAGAGAATGTACTAAATTCATTGCTAAAGCAAACCTTGTATATACCTGGAATAAGCATAATACTCATTATCTAATTAGAACACGTCATTCCAACTGGAATTTTAATAACATTAAGTAGCAACACATTTGAAATTTCTAATGAAAATAAGTCCCAAGATACATGATTTGATGTTTATTAAAACCATTATGTTTAAGCACCGCTTTAGTATGTACGCGTAAGTAGTGTTCTCATAAGAATAGAAATTAATTTGTACCTGTCATTTGTGTTGTGAACTGATGAGAATCATATTGCATTTTTTGTTGTTGGTAAATAATTTGCTTATTGGGACCTTCAATCTTAACATCCACATCGTATTGTCCTCCAGTGATTACCTGTAATGTTAAGCAGTATTATGGTCACATTGAACAGGAAAATCTGTCCTTAGACGATATTAAATTTCGAGTATGACTTAGGTTACTTTGCAATAGTAATTGTTATCATAGTTCATTTACAGACCAATTATGGATAAATCTTCAGCCAGATATTAGAATTACCTGATATTCTAATGCCGCTGATGTATTTTTTTCTATTTCTTCATAAAAACATTCTACTGCACTATCAGGTAACTCGAAGGTAAGTTCAACACTTTTAGAAAGTATACCGTTGATAAATGTCATAAATATTGCAACTAATATTGGTGTGAAAATCATTTTGTCTAGAATTATATCTCGAATTCTAAAAGTACAAAAATAATTGAAATCCTAATGTTAGAGTGTTCACAATTCGCATCGATTGACAACTGACATTTCACCACGTAATTGGTAGCGTTCCATTTCTATATTAATCATAATACAACGTTCAATTTATTTGAAAGTACATTTTGCGTTATAACAGTTGTGTGGATGCGACAGAACCAGATAAATTCTAATAAGAGAATTAATAGTGAAAAGTATAATAATTAAAATATATGGAGTACATAGTTTTATTTGGTTTCGAGTTAAGCTATCAGTTAAACTAAGCTTCCCACCCAAGCCTAGCTTTAAAAAAAAAACGTGAGATTGCATTGTGTATGCTCACTATTAGCACCAGGGGCACAAGGTATATACAAGGACTAACTGGCTACGTGTACGTCATATTCCTACACGTTTCTCTTGAGGCTCGCCGTCAAGATCCGTACAACAGCTCTTAAACGCCTCGAATGAACGCTCAGGGTGCCAAGTCCAATCGAACCTAGTCATTGTCGCATAAATACCTTTTTTCTTTCTTCGTTTCCAAACTGGGTGTCCTTTATGATAAAATATTATTTCTGATAGGGTGATTTTCCAAAAGAAAAATACCATCGCGTTTCTCATTGTACCTTATCTTCATTTGAATGTATACCGAACTGTTATTCTAAATTAATTTTAAGTTTTAAATAAGAAGCATATTTTGTTTTTATCATTCCAGGACCTCCTTGGAGCTCATCTGGTAAAGTATACCTACCTAATAGCGATGGAGGAGACTGTTAGACTGGCGGCTGACTTCTCTTCGACTTCGACTCATGACTAAGTGTCGGAGAGCCATACTTCGGCACAAATGAATAGGCACAATTGATACCACGGCCTCAAAGAAAACCGGCGTGAAACAATCTCAGCGTATGTTTCGTCGTGTGAGAGAGGTTACCGGTGGCCTAATCCCTTAGACCCTCCCCAATCCCAAAACCAAATCCCTTATCCCAAAATGTCGGCAACACACCTGTAACACCTCCGTTGTTGGCGGGTGTCCATGGGCGGAGCTGGTTGCTTACCACCAGATAATCTGTCTGCTCTTTTACCGAAGCCGACCTATCATACAAAAAAGTAGGGTCCCTAGCTCAAGGTGCACGAGGAGTGTGGGTAGCTCAGGGTTACGATGACTTTCCCTAGTTGGCCATCCCCAGGAGCTTTTACAGGTGCTGAACTATAAAATAACATCTACATACACTCATCCTACACCCGGTGCGCGTTATAATCTGCCTTGGCATATTTGCAGGTTTCTGCCACTGAGGCAGCGAACGCTTGACTTCTGTCCATATGACACAGAAATTCTATAAGCACCCTTGCCCAAAAAACACCTTTTAAAGAACAACAGAAAATCGTGCCTTTTCCCGATCTAGACTTGCGATACCTTGATAGTGTTGAAGGCGCTAAAGTCTGTCCCAACATTTCGCCACTAGGACCTGTTAAAGTCCTGAGAGCCCACCTCTCAGCCATTACACTAGTCGGATACTTCATAGTTCATACCCGCTTTAATGCGCGTCACTTTGTGAGTGACGTATCTACTAACAATTTCCTGGGAAAATATTTGTACCTATACGTTAGAATATTCGTAATTCTAAAATACGTACCTACATTCCACGAAGGCTTTAAGTAGCTGCCTTCCTATATAATTTTTGGGTTGTTCCATTTATATATTTAGGTAAGTATGCATCTGAAGTTGCGACCCCGGCCCAGACCAGGAGAAGGAATGGGTACCTATGTTTTTTATCCGTAAAGCCGAACACTGATTTCCCCCCTCCACCCATAAAAAAATTGTAGATACGTAGATATGCATCCACCTGCCTGGTCTAAGAAAGGAATATAATGAAACAACACAATAGGAATAACAGTAAAACAATTTATTCAAAATTCAAGACGATACAATTGATTGGAAAATTAAATTTTCACTTTTAAAGTTTAACGATTCGCTTAACAATAAAGTAAAAAGCCATGATTCCAACAAACAAAAATACTGTGATAATAATGTCTTAAAAATTACACTTATGTGCATAGGGACTAAAATGAAGTCTATAAAATGCAGACAATACTTCAATTTATCTAGTGAGTGTTTAGAATGCAAGACCGGCGTCGGCGTAGGTGGTGAAGATTTTCTCGATGGAGTTGGCGTACGCCGCTGTTCTCAGATCTAAGCCCAAGTTGAACTTCATGGCAGTCTTCATGATGGCCTGTTAAAAACAATGTGGGTTTAAGAAATAGTAGAAATAAGAAATCATTTTTAATCGTTGTCACACATGCTATACTTTAAGTTTCTGAACAATTTATGTATGTTCTTATTTCACCAAAAGACTTGTCTTTATGGCCATGAATAAAATAATTTAACAATAGGTACTTAATAGTTAAGCCTCTTTGTGCCCTTTTGGGTTGAAAATAAGTTCAATAAGTGGCGTCGACAGATTTTCCTTGCACAGACAGATAGACCACACTACAATTTGTGAATGAGTTACAGATAATTTAAGTCGGAATTGGACAATTACAATCACTAGAAAAACCGATATTAAAAGCTAAAATAGCAGAGAGACTTACCCTAGCAGACCTCTCCATGGTGTAGTCGAGACCGGAGTGCACAATGTCTTTTTCGGAGGCACCAGAAATCCTCTTCTGGAAGGACTCGGAGGGTGTGACTGGAATGCGACCTCCGACGCGGCCAAAACGCCTCTCCAAAGACTCCTGTACGGATTCTGCAAAAAAATACCCATTTTATTAGAAACAAGTCTTTTTTCTCCGAAGTAAGTCAAGTCAAGTGTACCTGCTCCAAATTGCCAACCACAAAAAAGAGCCAATATTAAATCATTCTTCAGTAGGTATCGGAAGTGATTTTGGTAATAAGAAAAGATTTATGCGAAGACTTAAAAGTTTCTGGGATGTATACGTTATTATGGAAAACTCAGACTAGATACAGTAAAGGAATTTGGCCTTCTATTGTCGTAGAACAAACAGATAAGAGTAATGCAACGTTTGTGGACGTTAGTTTGCACCGATAGATACAGAATTCGTATAAATAACGTTAAGTAATCATAAGATACTGCATAAGTAAAGGCCTTTCTTAAAATGGTTTTTGCAAAAATAACAAAATTAATTTCCTATGGTCTGTATTTTCCAAATTGCAACCGGGGCTTAAGGTGCCCTAGAGATGTGCCGTAATTGGCGATGCGCCATTGGAAGAGGACGTATCACACGTTATAAGTGATACTGATTTCAGTGTTCATATTCTTTCTCGCTATAGAGATAGGTGCATTCTGAGAGATAATAAAATATACTAGGTACCTAGATGTGACGATACCGAATCAAATAAACAAAACTAAAAAATGTAAAGACCTGGATTTAACTTAAGTGAATTAGAAAACCACAGTCAGAATAGGTACGCAAAAAATATCTACCTAAAGGAAAGAATAAATACTTACCCAGGAGGTGGTAGTTGGACTCGCGCTCATATTTGAAAGTAAGACGTCCGTAGGACACGTGGTTCAGGTTCTTGAGCCACTCGAAGAAGGAGACGGTGACACCACCAGCGTTGATGTACAAGTCGGGGATTACAAGGATGTTGCGGTCAATGAGGATCTTGTCGGCCGCTGGGGTCGTGGGACCGTTGGCGGCTTCCGCGATGATCTGCGAACAAAAGAGATATTTAGATGCTGTTTTTTTTCACAAAATAAATCTAAACTAAATGATCTCTTGAGAGAAATGCCCACGGAGTAAGTTGTTCTTACTCCGTGGAAATGCCCAATAAAAAATTAAGTGGGTCCCGTACCTACCTAATCAATTTAAAGGTCGTCTTCGATTACCTACTTGCTAAATTATACAGTACTTAGTGGCTAATGTTATTAACTTGATTAGAGTCGCGTACCTAATAGCCGTGGCAGAGGTAAATTGTTAAAACGCTGACCAAAAGCAGGCAATAATTATTATCTATATAAAATACAAATTAGGTACCTACATATACCTATATACGTAAGTAAATAAACATTATTATAAAACTTCCACATTTGCTTATGTAGGGTCTTTTAGACCAATTTACTATGGACTATAATAAAGCCACCGCCAGCCGCCTTACCCTTAAATAATAGAGTTTGAATAATTGAATTTGATCGGAGAGTGGCCGCATTGAAGTGTGGACGTAGGTCTGAGTGCCTATTAGCAAGAAGTTAGGTGGGTTTATTATAATAACAAAAAGTTCAGAACTTTGAAATGCCTGGGTATATTAAGTTCTTGAACTTAACTACTTGTTCCAGTTCATGGTGAACCTTGATTGACCTCCAATAACTTAGCAAAAATAACATTATACCATTTTAAATAAAAGTAGAGGAGGCCATAACAAAGACATTGTCCACCTTTCATCAGTTATACTAATTAAGAGACCAATTTAATATTGCGTAGCAAAAGATATAGAAAAACAACCTATTTACACTTTGCTTTCATAAACTTTCATCATCGACAATAAAAACCTAATCTCATTTTTCATTCACACTAATATCGTTTACAGCATTAATCTTATCAGAACCTACACAAATGAGAGTTATACTAAAGTAGTTAGGTAGGTACTTAATTTGAGTATATTCCCACGTTATATAATTAAAACGATAACGAAAGATATCAAGGTCTCGGGCAAAGTTAATAGGTCCCCATTACATTTAGTATTTGTTGAAAGTGAGATAAATATCAAGGTAATGCCAATATTGTGAGTTGATAATTAAATTAAGCACGTACCTACGTACTTAAATGATAGTGAATTATTATGTTTGTTTTTTTTTTATTCATCTAAGATTCGACCAATCTACTGTTCGTTGACAATTTGCGTAAAACTGTGTCGGCACAACTTTTACAAGATATATGGCATGTGATCTGAGCAACAATTATAAGGAAACAGATAATTAAATTCTAATACTAGATGAATATCTCAATAACAGAATTTTAACTGTAAGTACTTGCCTTTTAAGATGGGCATGCAAATAACTAATATAAATTAGTAATTTTAATATGTTTAACGCCATGTCAAACAGAATGGAGACCGAAGCAAGCAGAGGATTTGCT